CCTAACCCTAACCCTAACCCTAACCCTAACCCTAACCCTAACCCTAACCCTAACCCTAACCCTAACCCTAACCCTAACCCTAACCCTAACCCTAAGAGTGGGTGCTACCTGCGTATATATAACTTGCCTTGGCTCAGTTGGCTTAGGGTGGCTTAGTGTGCTTAGTACTGAGCCAGACTGAGCCTACTGAGTTAGGCTGAGCCGTTACGTGACTTCAGCCTTACTATACCCCTAAGGCTGTGGTCCCGTGCTCCTTGGGCTCGGCCTAGCTGCCTTCCCTATCTCCACCTCCGGCCTTACTAAAGGTCGGGCTGTAACACGGACTAGGGTTCTAGTAATAAGTATAGTACTAAGGGTGCGGATAATAACTATAGATTTAATATTCATTTAGAAGGGATAGGGGTAAGCTAGGACGAAGAGGTAGTATATTAAAGATAATAGGGCGAGTCGCTAAGGATAAGCTATTCATCGACCTTAGTATGACGCCGGATAATATTAATATAGTAATAGAGTATAAGCGAGTTATAGGCTGGGTCCCGGAAAATAAACTACTAACTAGCCTTAGTATAATACTAGATAATATAGATATAGGAATTAATTATAAGCGTACAGTATAACTAGTAAAAGAAGATTATCGTGTAATATTAGTGCCTAGGCTATTATAGAGTAGTATAAAGGAAGATAGTTATTAAGTACGCCGCTAATACCGAAGAAGGTTATAACTACTAAGTACTTAGGGCCCTAAACTTCTATAGTTAATACCTCGACCCCTTAGTAAATAAGAGGATCTATATAAGTAGCGAATATAGTGTTCGGGCTAGTAAGTAATAGGCTACTCCCTAATTAGTAAGAGGCGTCGAAGAACATTAGGATCTAATATCGCAGGATCTAGACTTACGGATAGTTCGGTAGCTATATTATAAGGTATACTTAGTAGAGACGGTAATATAAAAGTATTTTAGGGCTCGGTCGACGATACGAAAGTATCGCTAGGCTCGGATAGTAAGTCGCGGTTAATAGTAGCGGTAAAGCGATGAAAGTTTAGATAATCTAAGTCGTCTAGGTTATTAAGGGGGACTTAGGTAGCTACGGTATATATTAAGTAGGTAGGCTATCTCTAAGAGTATAAGACCTACTATTTATAGCTCGGGGTTCGTAATTAGGTATAATAATATTATTTTCAGGAGGAAGGGCTTAGGTAAATTAGTCTATAAGGTTAATTAACTATAGACTAAATACTATCTCGCCGAGAGCCAGTCGCTTATTACGGTAATAATAAGTTATACTACTATATATACGCTCGCGGCTCTTCTTTTTTAATAGGGCGTTGCGAGCACGAGCTTCTTCTTTAGAATACTTTTTAGGCCGGCCCCTTAGAGCTATAGCGAGCTATCCTTATAGGTAATTAATTAAATAATAAATTATCTACTCTAGTACGATTTATACGTTTACTATTATAAAGAGTGTTTAAATAAGGAAAGGCGTCGATAGGATATAGCTTACGGGTATAGCGAAGAGAAGGAAATTAAAAAGGGAAAGGCTTTAAATATATATATAGCTTATTAGTGTAGCGACTAGAAGAAAATCTAAAAGAGAAAGGTATTAAAGAAGTGTATAGCTTAATAAAGTATAGAGTAAATAGCTTACGAATATAGCGAAGGGAAGGAAATTAAATATAGAAGGGTATTAAATAAGTATATAGCTTATACTAGGGGACTGGTAACGAATTTAAGCGATACCCTTAGTGTCTTGTCTTCCTTATCTAGGATAAGAACGCCTTTAATTACCTTTATATTAAGAAGTCTTACGATTATTAATTTAGTATAGTATCTTAGGTTATATAGATTGAGTAAGTGTAGATAGGAAATCCGTAATATTACTCGTGTAGATAGGAAATCCGTAATATTACTCGTGTAGATAGGAAATCCGTAATATTACTCCGCGAGTAGCTTTAAGACCTTTACTGCGCTAACTATAATCATCAGCGCCAATGTATCTTATACTTCTCCTAATAGTTAATAGGCGTTGATCGCGGCCATTACGGTCTCCTTTACTCGATTTACCGGCCGCGATATTACTATATACTAAAGTAATGGTTATCGCGTCGAGATAATCTAGCTTATAGGTGTGTGGCTTATTAGTACAGCGAAGAGAAGAATACTAAATAAGGAAAGGTAGCTTATAGGTGTGTGGCTTATTGGTGCAGCGAAGAGAAGAAAACTAAATAAGGAAAGGTGTAAATCTTCTTAGCGAAGACCCTACGAAAATAATTTTAAAGAGGAAAGGCTAAAGAATACTAAGAGTGTAGGTTAACTATATTAAAACCCTATATACTATATAAAAGAGAGTTTTTACTATACTATTCTTTAATAAAGGTAATTCTAGTAAGTTAAATTATAATATTAAGATAAAGATACTATTTAAAGTATTATAGTTATTTTAAATTTTTAAAAAGTTATAAAGAATACTACTCTAACTTATACTTTAGCTTAGTATAATACTTTACTACTAAATCTATAGGTATTCTACTACTTTACTATATTAAATTTATAAGTATTACTAAAGCTATATCTTTCCGCTCTTACTAAGGGCTAAAGCTATATCTTTCCGCTCCTATTAGGGGCTAAGGCTATATCTTTCCGCTTTTACTAGGGGCTAAGGCTATATCTTTCTACTTCTACTAGGGACTAAGGCTATATCTTTCTATTTCTAATAGTAGTTAAGGTATAGCCCTAGTACTTATTATAGCTTAATACTTTATATCTCTCGCTAGTTAATCTTATAACTTTACTTCTTATCTAAATATATTTTATTACTCTTACTACTTAATACTTACTTACTTTTTATTTTATCTAGCTATTACCTCTTAACTCTCTTAGTTTATTATATAGTTAGTAACTCTTTAAGTACTTTATAACTTTATTATATAATATTAAAGTACTCTATAGCTATATTATTAAGCTTAAATTATTTCTTCTAGGACTCCTTCTTTAATTATTATCTTTTAGTAGTAGTACCTTATATAATCCCTTCTCTCCTAAGTTAAACCTTAAAATTTACACGCCTTACATTAAGCTAAAGTATAGGTTAAAGTATATCAGGAACAGCTACTAAAGCTTACTAAGCCTACTAAGAGGACGTATACAACTCTCGCGCCTCTTATATAAGAGTCCTATCCTCCTCTTATACTTCGAGTCCTATATAACCTAGAGGTCTAGGGATACCTAATACTATTGAGACCCTTGACTATTACTCTCTGCCTATCGCCTTAGGCCGTCCTTAACATTTTATTAGCGATTTCGGTAGATCTGCAACAACTTAAATCTTCTAGCCCTAGTAAACATATAAGGTACTACACAGCACGAAGTGGTCTTCCACTATCTAATCTTCGTGTATGGATTAGCCCGACGCGGGCTTAGATAGAGAGGCTCCATCCACTGTACCGCCTCAGCCATAGCAGAAATAGCTTCTCGCGGTTATACGGCGGAGATGGAGTCGAACAGTGGCTATTTTTAGGGTAGGCCCGTCCATGCAGATGAGCTGTCTGGTCCACTTATAGTGTGACCCGGTCCTTGCAATAAGAGTGGGTCTGTAAAGCTGCTGGGCGTCTCAAGGAGGAGTCGCCGAGGGAAGGCTTCAACCTCAATCGCGGCACGGAGGCAATCTGTCTTCCGAGCCATACAGCGGCGGCGAGTGCCGCTTGTTATGCCACCTGCTGATATCTTGAGCTTCGATCACAACCCACAATTGTCGATCAAGCTCCATTATCTGACAATTCACGCTGGGTCCATGAGGTAGCAAAGGCGCTCGGAGATAACGCTGCCACAACGCTGGAAAGATCAATATGACGCCTCTTAGATCCTAAGACCGTGCGAATGCATATTTCGGCACTACAGAGGCGTGGTATCAGCTGCGTCGGGGCATGGCCTCTGGTTGAAGTACAAGACTCAGTTGCGCTTCCCGCCTCCATCCGTCTGGATGTATCCCACCTCCCACCCGCTTCGACAAAATGACTTCCCACCCTCCGAGTGCTTGTTGCTATGCTGGCATCAAACATGAAGGCACCGCGACTGGAGAAATGGTCGAAATCGGGGGGTTCGAGGCCTACGTGAAATACCCACAGGACAATTCGACGAAACACGGAATCCTTCTGTAAGTTTGCAGTTCTTGGGCCTGTGGGATCTCATGGCACGATGTGCTCCTGACACGGGATTAATTCTTGTGGCAGGTTGTCAGATGTAATGGGCCATCGCGCCATCAACTCCCAGTTGATAGCGGATCAGTTCGCGGCCAATGGCTACTTCGTCCTGATGCCCGACCTTTTCTATGGCGATGCGATTGACCTGAACCGAATCGGTGACTTGGACTTTGTGAAATGGTTCAGCGGTGGATACAGCCAACGCGGCATTGGCCATTTCCCGTCAACCATTGACCCGATTGTTGAGCGCTGTCTTTCGGAAATGCGAACCAAGTACAAATGTCAAGTACGTCCAGCTGCACCCTTCGTTGCTTTGCCAATGCCATCGTTGGGCTTGCGCTAACTGGGCGCTCAGAAAATCGGTGCCGCTGGTTACTGCTTCGGTGCAAAGTATGTTATACGACACTTGCGCTCCGGTCAGGGAGTCATTGACGTGGGCTACCTGGCACATCCAACCCAAGTGGAAAAGGACGAACTTCAGGCCATCACAGGCGCCTTAGCAATCGCAGCAGCAGAAGAGGACGCTCAGTTCCCTCCAGAGAAAAGGCATGAGTCGGAGGACATCCTGAAATCGATCGGGGTCCCGTATCAGATCAATCTTTACAGCGGTGTTTCACATGGGTAAGCTCTTCGACAGAATCCAGTCGCACTCGCCTGCAGAGTCTAACTCATGTGATGGTGCTAGATTTGCTGTCAGAGGCGATCCAAAAGTACGCGCCCAGCTTTATGCAAAGGAGAATGCTTTCTTGCAGGCGATTCAGTGGTTTGAGCACTACGTGAAGCCCTGAACGTCAGTATACAGTCGCATGGCTCCGTCCAGCCTGGATGAGAGAAAATAGGCATGATCGTTTATACAGGGTTCGGAAAGCAAATACAGATCATACAATAGAACTTCTGCCGTGCGGCGATCAATCGCATCTCTTGTGCGAGTTAGTCCACGCTTACCGGGTTTGTCACTTACGTAGATTAAGCTACAACTTGCTTCACTTGATCACCTCGCCCGAATTGCTTTCTTTGGGTGGCCGGTCTCCACAAGTTTCCAGCCATGTCGTCGGCACGTCGTCGCCATTGGCGTTCCTCTTGGATTAATTATCGCTCTAACCTGAATCGCGGAAGGGAGTTTCGTAACCTCCGACAGCCGCTCAACCTCCTCCTCAGACCCTCAGCAGCGTCACCGAGCCCTCATGCCTGGCTGTAATGTCTGAGACCGTACACGTCACCTTCATCTGTGCATTAAGATTTGCCTGGCACTATGGAGCCAGTTCCCGGGAGATCTGATCCAACTCGCCGGGATGCATCGAGGACAATTTGGGAGAACCCATTCCGGACCACAGTGGACAGGCGCCCAAGGACCACGGATGTCTGCTGCGTGCCGAGTGTCCCTGGAGCCGGGTTCAGCCCCCAAGAGGAGAGAAATATAAAGAAGAGACTGTACTGGCTCTTTTCTTCGACAAGTTTGGGATGAGGCCTATACGTGTCCTCCGCGACACCGATCCCGAGCCACCTCGTCCTGGAACTTGACCACGACACCGCCATCGGCCTCTCCGTCAATTATGACCTCTGCGACCGACCCTAGCCTCGGAAATCAGAGTGCTGGGCCGGTACCTCTGCAGCCCAAGGAAAATGGCGGCAGTTCCTTGGACCGGCCTGCCCGATCTGAAAGCGCCACTTCACAGCAGGTCCCGACGAGCAGCAACGACCCTTACCCGCCCCAAAGCCTTGAAAAGGGCATTGTTGGATGGGATGGCCCAGACGACCCCGAGAATCCGAGGTGCGTTTCTGACAACCATGGTGCTCGGACAGGCGTACTGAGCAACGGCAGGAATTGGCCGGCAAGACAAAAATGGACAGTGCTTTTGCTCGTAAGCTCCATGACATTGATCAGGTTCGCCGGTACACCAAGCATGCCTTTCGAGTCAAGTCACGCTGACACGCATCCGCAGTCCATTTGCCTCCTCGGTGTTTGCTCCGGCGGCCAGTTTCATGAGCAAAGACTTCCACAACACCTCGACGATATCCACGACCTTCGCCGTCTCCGTGTATGTTCTTGGTTATGCGATCGGGCCTTTGTTCTTCTCTCCCTTGAGTGAGATGTATGGTCGGCAGATCATACTGAACGCAGCCACAGTACATTTTGTTGTGTGGCAGCTTGGGTGCGCTCTTGCACCCAATATAGCATCGTTGACCGTCTTTCGCCTGCTTTCGGGAATGGGTGGCTCGGCTTGCTTGACCCTTGGCGGAGGCGCGATTGCCGATATGTATGAAAAGGAACAGCGAGGGACGGCCATGACTATCTTCACCTTTGGCCCTCTTTTCGGCCCGGTCCTAGGACCAATCTGCGGTGGCTTCATCGCCCAGCAAGCAGGTTGGAGATGGGTATGTGCCCCTGGTTTGGCGATCGTGGAGAACAATCACTAAGTCTCGCCTAGGTATTCTGGACTCTCCTAATCGCAGGGGGCACCTGCACGGCAATCATCATCGTATACTACCGCGAGACCAACCCGACTATCCTCATCCGCCGGAAGACACGTCGTCTTGCCAGGGAACTCAACCGCCCCGATCTCCGCAGTTGCTATGACTCGGTCCAGGACGAGCGATCCCGCACATCGCTCTTCATCCATGCCCTGAGTCGACCGGTGAGAATGCTTTTTCTCTCTCCTATCTTAGCGTCTCTGGCAATCTACCTGGCTCTCATCTATGGCTGCCTGTACCTTCTCTTCACAACCGTCACATTGGTCTTCCAGAGGACATATGGCTGGAAGCCCGAGTTGACCGGTCTCTCTTACGTCGGTTTGGGCATCGGTCTCCTCTGCGGACAGGCCCTCTTCGGTCTCACAAGCGACCGAACGATCGTCCGGCTTGTGAAGAGGAACAACGGCATTTACGAACCTGAGATGCGGCTGACGATGTGCTTGTATTTCGCCTGTTTCGTGCCTATCTCTTTCTTCTGGTATGGCTGGTCGATTCAAGCACAGGTACATTGGATTTCGCCCATCATGGGGCTGTTCCCCTTTGGATTTGGGATGATCGGGATCTTTATTTCCTTTCAAACCTACATTGTAGACGCCTATCCTCGTTTCGCAGCCTCCGGCATCGCATCGACCACGGTCACACGGTCGTTCTTCGGCGCGTTTCTTCCGCTTGCGGGCCCATCGATGTTCGACACACTTGGATATGGAGTAAGTCTTCATCCCACCCCATGTTCGCCGGTGAGTCCACTGACATCGTGGCTATCCAGTGGGGAAATTCTTTGCTTGGCTTCATTACTCTGGCCCTTGTGCCCGTCCCAATATTCTTGCGGCTGTATGGAGGTATCCTGCGGGAAAAATTCCCTATAAACTTCTGAGGGATGCAGGTGTTTTGGAAAGATGTTGGAAGGAATTCTCTGTTTATAGACGAGCTGGAATCGATTGTTCTTCCGCCTACATAGGCCATTGTTACATAACCAAACGCTGTCTGCCGACAGCGACTACCGCGGAATGCTCGTATCCTATCCTGAGACTGAAATCTACCTCATGACTCGTATGCAGGGACAGGCCCGGTCACGGAGTTACGCCAATAAAGCCGGTGTCAACCGGCGCCTTTTCAGGACAAATGCTGATTCGAGGCCGGTCGCTTTTCCTTCAAATATGCGTGACATCCACGTTCAGCGCGAAGACCGCTGTTTCCCAGTCCACTGGCCATCCGTTGACGCATCCGAGGTGCTGTCCAAGCTATTTTGCCGATGGGCTTTGACTTCTTCGTCGGCCATGTAACCTACCTTGGTTCAGGATGCGACAGGAGCCACGACCGTTGGACGAGAACCCTTTCACCGACCGTCCTGCAAACCGCCGAGATGACGCTGTATCGCCCCATTCGGCAGAGCTGGCCGTTGGAAACCACAGCCCTACAACTCAAAATGGCGCAGAGGACAGACTGACTTCTGACACGCCCGGTCATGAAACACAATGCAAACCACGCGTCACGAGAGCTTGTCTTGCATGTCGTCGGCGAAAGGTCAAATGCTCGGGGGAACACCCATGCAACTCGTGCAGAACATCTTTCCATGGTAAGCAAAGTGTGCGGCTAAGATGCTCGAATGTTGGCCCTCTGCCCTGGCTACAACCGCTGACCGACCGCCAGAATGCCTATACCCCGAACCAAGTCGCCAACGCCGAAAGCGTGTCCGTACTGTCGACCAGTTCGAGGCTCTGGAAACCAGACTGAAGCAAATGGAAGCGTGTCTCGAGAAAGCCACCCGTGCTCCAGAGCCGGGACTCTGCTCCAGTACGCCAAAGCGACGCCCCCGGAGCCGTGGCTCTTCCGGAGGCTCTCACGAGGGCCCCAAGCGTGTCGAGGGCGCCCATTTCCACCCCACGGACAAGTTTGTCTTGACCCAGCATGCGACTGAGAATAGCGAAGACGGCTATCACGGCTACTCCGGCGACCGATCATTCATTCAGCGGATGCGAGAAGTAAGAAATTGGGCTGGGGCCGAAGTCCATCGCAGGTTACGGCGGTCAGACGGGCAGCTGCCCAGCCTATTCGAACCAGACTATGGTCTTGCCGCGACAGCCTACCTTCCTTCCAAAGAGCGTTCTCGGACATTGATTGACGCTGCGTTGGATGCGTATGCGCTGACCCCAATTCTGCACCGGCCGACGTTTGATTACTCTTGGAATGTTATCTACTCAATTGAGCCGAGTCAGTACACGGCCGATGAGCTCCGGTTCCTGCCCCTTCTGTATGCCGTGCTCGCTCTGGGATGCTTGTTCGCCCAGGCAGATGCCCAGAAGTCGTCCCGTGACACTGCGAAGGCCGACGGGTACGTGTGCCCCTATTCAGGAGTGACGTTTCCAGTGTTGACTTCTGCTAGCCTTCGTTTCTTCGCTGCCAGCCGCTGCTTGATCGACCTCAGCCATTGTGCAAACGAAACCAACCTGCAAACAATTGTGTTTCTGAATCTTTTCCTCATCGAGACCGCCCGCACCGGGTCCTGTTATTCATACCTCTCCCACACACTCACACTCGCCCTGCGGATGGGTCTGCATCGATCCATGCTCAGAGATTGTGATCCGATTAGGAGCGAGGTCGGCAAGCGGGTCTTCTGGACAATCAGGCTGTTCGCAAATTACTTTGCAACCATTGTGGGCATGCCGAGACCTCTGGGTGATGACAATGTCGACCAGGATCTACCCGTGGAAGCAAATGATGGATACATCACAGACGCCAAAGTTTCACCTCAACCATCCACTGAAGTGTGCCAAATCCTGGGGATGAATACATATATCAAACTCCACAACATCCTGGGACAAGTTGTGAGGCACGTATATCCGCTTCGAGGGATCAGCAAAAGCCCAGGCAAGGAGTCGGCGAGCTACATGGTTAGCATCGAGAATATTGGAGCGATTGAAGAGGCTCTCAAAGCATGGGAGGCGAGCGTGCCACCAGGCTTTCGTTTAGGCGACGACGACCCAGAATCCAGGTCATTGTTACGGTGAGGGGGAATCGTATTTTCCCAGTTTCATTGGAACCGAACAGTTGACTGAACAGCCTTCTAGTGCTCAATACCTCCTCTCCATGTCACATGCACATGTCCAAGTGTACCTGTACCGACCATTCCTGCACTATCTCTCCAAGTTTTCACGGCCCGGTGGATCAGTATACAGCAGTATGGACTATACTTCCTATGCATCGGCATGTCTGCAAGCATGCCAGAAGATCCTGAGGCTTAGCGGACAGGTGTGTCAGCGCGAGCTTATCCAAGGCTGCAACGTGGTATTCTCTCATATGGTCTTCACATCCATCATCTCCCTGCTATATGTCCTCCTCAGCTCCGTCGGATGGGGTGAGGGTGGAGTCGATATAATTGTCGGTGATATCGCTCTGGGATGTAAAGTTATGTGGGTAATGTCGCACTACAACGAGGCGATTGAGACAGGTCAGAGTATCGTGGCGGTGGGTCATTCATTCGCTTCTATGCATCAGATGCTCTCGACTGACACTCTTCTCAAGGCAATGATAGCATTGCTTCCGAAAGAGCTGGCCCATGCCCGAGACCGGTTGCAGAACTCTTCTTGTGAGAGAGGCAATCTGCAACATGCCCAAGACAACCTCACTGCAGATTTGAACGGGCGTGATCCTGCTGCTCCCCTTGCTTTCCAGCCGACGATGCTCGGGGCAGCAGAAAAGGGACTCCCCGTGCACGTGCGGCCCGAGCTCACGCAAATTTCACCACAGCTATACGGTGCTGATGCTTCCGCCACGAGAGCCACCGCTACGGCCCCCTTCAGCAGACATCCAGTCCCCGATCTTTATCCCGATGCAAACACCCCATCACTTGACTGCCTCGAGGCTCAGCCGTTCAGCTTCGCCGACGCCCCTTTCTTCGGAGAGATGTGGAACGGCATGAACATGGCGTGTTTTTCCTATTGGGACCCGGCGTCCAGCAGCAGTCACCGTGATGGTAGTGGTAACGTCGACATGAACAGTATGGACCCGTTCTCCGGAGGGTTCTCGAAGGGCGTGGGCGTGGGCGTGGACATGGGCACGAATATCAATATGGGTCTGGATCAAGTGAGGCAGATGATCAATAACAATGCAGAATATACGTTCTAAAGGCCTTTCGGATTGGTGTTCTTTTTCTAGTTTCTGATTCTCATTCTTCTTGCCCCTATCGTTCGTCTGTCCCTTGCGCGACGGTTCCGCGACCCTTGCATCTTCACGTATCGGAACGCATACCGGCATATTGCACCCAGGAGGAACTTGCTCCCAGGACGTTGATTGATGATAAACCAGTCATAGAGCAAACAGTCGTGGAGTAAACAGTGATGGAGTAAACAGTGATGGAGCAAACAGCCGTGAAGCGAACAGTCATCAAGCAAACAGTCATAGAGCAAACAGTCGTGGAGTAAACAGTAGTGGAGAAAACAGTCGTGGAGAAAACAGTCGTAGAGCAAATACTCGTGGAGCAAACAGTTGTGGGCGAATTTATCGTGCAACAAATAATTGTATGGCGAATTTGTCGTGCAACAAATTCACTAACAGGACATCCTTCGAAGCGCTGAAAGGGGGAACGCTTAGAGGCAGATGGTAAGGTGAGAGTGTGGGAGAAGGGGTTTTTACAAACTTGTTGAACGAGGTCGTCGCCGCCGTGGCGTAAACGAAAGCGAGGGCCGAAAAGCATATCAGTCGGGCCTTCTGACGATAGCGTTTCTGATAATACTGCTCGCCGCTGGCACGGAGCCGGTTTCATAACCACCCATCGCTCGGGAATGCGCAATTCTACGCCTGTCGTGATCCAAATCTGCGCGTTTCGGAACGCAATTTATGCTGAGCGAGCGTTGTGAATGGTCCAAGGGTAGTGGCTGCAAGATCGTCCAGCCTTCGTCAGAGGATGGGAGATCAAATCAAAACCGTGGCTCCAAAATGGGTTATCACTCACGAGTCGGACGCCAGCAGCAAACAACGACCCTGGACCTCGACTCGCTCGTTTCCGCAGCTGGCAGACGGTCGATCTTCTGAATTGGTTGGCAAATGCAGACCGATGCTCGAGGATTGTGATAAGATTGTACGAAGTGCTGGCGGTGTCAGTGAGTGAGAGGAACCGTGTCAGAGAAGCCACGTGGTCTTCCCTGCTCTGTGTCGTTCCCCCACATCTGCATGGATGCGCTTTGTCCTTCGCTCACGCTTGTCATTGCTGGGCTCGATTCCGTGTATTGGTGCGTCGCTACGATGCCTGACTGCCTCGTTTGTGCTGTCCGGAGCTCGGCCCACGGATACGGTTTTGTGTTTGCTCGAGAGCTTCGATAGGTATCGGCCAACCTGTTCGCATGTGGAAGCGATCTATCGATTATTTGAATCAACGGCAGAAAGGAACAGCCGCCACCTCTAGGGCTATGCGCAGAATGCTAGGATGGCGAATGCTGACCTCAGTAAACATCTCCTTTGGCAACATGAAGTCAGGCTCCTTCCATTGGTGTCCACGGCTATGGGCTTGACTGTATCCAGTGGACAAGAGTTTGTGTGAGTCACTGCCATGAAGGTTCATTGGCAGCAGTCAATAACGTCAGGGTTCGCCACCAATAAGCAAACAATCTCGTTCGGCTGAGACTGCTGTATGGAGGTCAGAGACAGTTTTGATGAATATGGTATGGCGATGACCAAGGGAATCGAGTTGAGAACAAAGTCCCAGGACAGGTCTGAAACTTTCAGGTCGCTAAGCTGGAGAAATCATACAAGCCAGCGCCACATTTGAGCAAGACTTCCCGACGCATTATCAGAGCCGCCCATGGAGTCCTGGAGCCAGCCTGATCAATCGGTCTCCTTGACTTCGTGTGCGACGATCTTCAGGTTGGTACGTCGATGGTCTCGTGAGGTCACCGGATCGAACTCGCGCAGGAGGAGTGCCATCTCCGAGTTGATGCTGCCGTTCGTAGCAAACTCTTTCTGCCGAAACACCAAATTCTCTTGTTCCGGGGTCAATGAAGTTGCGGGAGGCTCTGTTACCTAGGTCGGCAAGACAGATTTGAACAGCTGCTGGCTACCTTGGTCATCTGAGCAAATCAGGAGCTTGGCGTAGGGTCCGTTTCTCGCATTGATTGCTGACGCTGCTACGCCAACGACACACTTACGCAAAGACTGGCGATTGACGAAGCTGACCAGCACTGCGCAAGCTGTTTTCTGTGGGGGGGAGCGCATCCTTCGACCCGTCGATAGAAGCGCAGGAGTGTGTGAAAGCGAGCGCTAGGTCCTGGGATACCAATCGACCTGCTGGTTGAACCCGAGTTGTGCCTCATGGTGGTACGGCCGAAACGGTACGCCGGGTTAGCTGTCAGTCAGCAGAATCAGTTCTTCGGACGCAAGAATATGACACCTCGTGAGCGCGTCCGTCAGAGAACGGACGTTCCTTGTATGTTTCTCCAGCGTTAAGAACCGTTGGCCTCGTTCGCATTGACTTGCATGGCCAATTCGGCCTGTACCGACTTTGGGAGAACAGCGTTGGACGAGAGCTGACGCTTTTCGTACATGCGCTGGTTGAGACGGGAACTGCGCTGGAAACACACGACATGTGGCCCTAAGTACTTTCGGTCTTCAAGCATAATGATCCAGAGCATGCGAGACCATGGGCTCATAGGCATTGGAGTCGATCAGCGTATCGGCATTCTTACAGCTCGAACCAGATCATACTTGTCGTCCCCCTGTCATCCTCTTCAGACCTACCTTGTTGGGCTGGACCGCTGCAGCTCCGATTCCGAACTCCAGGTGGATTGCTTCGGACGTCGAGCGCCAACATTCAACTGCAAGACCTATGTGTTCCGCCCTCCAGCGTTGGTGGTGTCGAATAATTATCTTCTCGCTCTGGGGCGACTGTAACGTAGATCCAAAGCAATGTGAGACTCGGCTTTCCTGCGCCGACCGTCTTGTGTATGATTGTTTCGCTCCATATCAGTAGCAAGACTCATTGGCTTGCATAGGATAGCGAGACATTCCGGCGGACAGAGTATCCAGACTCCTTGATTTTCAAACATGTAAGGGTAAGGAAAGAAAATGAATGCCGAAGCAGAACGAAAGAAGAGGAGTGACTGAAGAGAGGTAGGAAAGTGTGCAAGAATGGCAGATGCCCCACGCGCTCATGTAGAGATGTGTGCCACATTCGCTCGTTATGAAGGAGCGAGAGAGGTTGAGATGCATAATTCGTGATCAAGGCTGCTGATCCTCTTGTTGGATCATCAGAACTTCTCGAGAAACCACCTTGACCGATACCAGAACGAAGCTGTCTAGTCGGCACAGGCCACGACATTGTGAATATCTTCCACCTCTTCGATTGTGTCCTCAGCTCTTCATTTCACGCCCAGGTGTGGTAAGAGGAGATTGAGGTCATCGTCGAGAGAAGAGGTCAGGCTATTGTGCGTTGGCGGACAGCGATCGCTGAGCCATAGTTGCAAATCTGCTGGAATTGCTGACTGGCGCGTCAGAAGTCATTGGAAACAAGTGCGGGGGGAGAGACCAGAGAGGGATGCTCATGAGTGCAACGAGTGAAGGCGATCGAAGAACACGCAGTCTGATGAGACAATTTGGACCCTGATGGTCCCGAGTTAGAGGCGCAGGTGAATTGGAGAAGGCGAGGATGAAACACAGAATCTCTGACGCAAGGGCAGATGTTGCCGAGAAGCTTGAAGTCAAAACTCACCTCGAAGCACAACGGGTCTCTCGTAGTTTTGAATGAGTGGCAGTACCCCATCTTCGCAACAACGTTGCCCGGCGCTCGACAGGCATTTGGGCAGCACCATGTAGCTCCCTGAGTATTTTCTCTGCAAAATCGTCATCCTGCCTGGTGCGAGCCGTTGGTCACCTCATACAGGTTGCGACATGAGCCCGCGAAGCATCCCCAGCGCAACATGTATGACCATTGCGGTGTTTCTTCAGCATCAGGATCTGCCTCAACGCCATTACATGCTGACGCACATGTCCCGGAACGGCAACGTTGTAATGGTGGCGCATTTTCGAATCAACCAGGTTTTCTGTGTGGACACGAAGGTCTCCATAAGAATGAAGCTGCCGTCAAGAAATGACCGTAGCCCCATCATTCTGCTTCTCTAGCATTCATCTGTCGCTGGAATCACAACCCAATCATTGCCCAATCTACGTAGTGCCCACCAGATGCTCGGTTCGGAATGTTGGGATCGTTTGATCGCATTATCTTGAGGCTTGAATGACGCCGCATGCTGCAATGAGAAACGCGACACTGGACGTGACACTGCTGAGGTTCGACAGGATTGAAGCTCAGGCGGGTTTCTTCGGATATATCGAGTGCCTGTGGCTCGTTTCTTGCGATACTGTCAGATCCGCATATGCCTACCTACGTACGTTTGCAATCGGAGTGAACACAATCGATCATCTGAGAGGTCCTGGTTCACTGACGCAGTCAGCTTGACGCTCTACACCACGGGAAGGTGCCTCTCAATCGTAGAGCATGGGGGAGCATCGATGAACGATGAATATCGCGTTTCCCAGCGATACCCTTCCCTAGGTCTGTCTCAACCTAAGGAAGTTCCCCGAGGAACAGGTTACACAACCTTGCCCCCAAGATCCCAGGCAGTCTCGTCTGGAGCTGCGGGCGTCTCTTTGCGCCTCTTCAGGATCCAGCGAATCTCTTGACCCGCAAAATTGATTGTTCTTGGTTCCGCATCAGGCTTGTACCTGCGATCTTCTCCTGACGGAACAACACCGTTATCGTCACGGTTACCATAGCCGGTATGGACGTCAGGATGGAACTTGGCCCACAGGCATACTGTGCCCAGCTTGTTACATTCCTTGCAGTTAACTTGGGCATGGTTACTGCCGCCTGAACCAGAATTGTGACCCAGTATTGCTGCGTGGAAACAAGTTGGAGGATAGACCGGCCTCCTGGTAAACGTTCCCATGCAGTATTGATCAATCTTTGCTTCTACTGCAGCAGGGTCCTTGCCGAGGCTGAAGAAGGTGCTAAAGACCTTGCGAAAATTCGGGGTGAAAGTGATTCGTTCCAGGCTAGGGTCAGTCACCCGAATCTAGCGGTCCAGACAGGCCTGAGTGGAGGAGCAGAGTATCTCGGTCCACAAGCGGAACCTCTTCCTGAGGAGTTTGCTCGACAACTTGCTGCTCTGTCAAAGCCGTACATTGGCGACCCGTTCGAGGAGTATGATCAAGATGCAGAAGCGCCCCACGAAGACGATCCAGCGCCCAGGAGCGCCTCGCTTGAGCCTCCTCAATAGCCAAGTGGCGACAGCTATAAGGCTGCGGCAGAGAAGGTTGCCCGTGTTGCAGGGTTGTCAGCGCCGACATTATATTCCGGAGAAGAACGCCGATGCAGTCAGAGCGCTGTGACTTCCTGAGCATTCAGACTTTTTGAGGGTTTACTCGAAACCACCAAAGCGTCGACTTCGAGTTCTATGGGCCAGAGCGTGGTCCGGTCAGGAAAGGAACCTAGCGCCACCTTCAACAGCAAGGAAGTCGAGGAAATCGCAGAGATCAAAAAGTACAAGGATCAGTGGGAAACTGCCAGTGTGGTGGTGAGATCGACCGAGATGATCTCTTCTGTTGACGGTGCTTCAGCAGCATGGAGGCGTCGATCTAATGCGGACAAATCAAAGGGCGGTGGGGCGGGGATTGTCCAGCGGTCGGCGAAGGATTCCCACCTCTACGTGGTGCCGGCTATCAACTGTTGAATCCAGACAGGCCAAGAGAAATCTCAAATCGATGCGTTGTCTCATGTCTAACGTAGGTCTTCGATCCTGCGATTCAACTTCAATACTGACTGGACCCAGGCGAAACCGCATATGAGCCGCCAAATGCATAGCAACAAGCCACAAACGTTCGGTCATCTCAGCTTCGATCTTCCGTGGTTCTGCTTGACCGAGGTCTTCCGTTCCCTTCCTGGCAACCCTACTGAGTCCTTACGGACGGCAGGTTTCTGGTTTTTCCGCGTGACGATGTAGCGTGCTCGCTTCGGGCTGATTTGGGCATCACATGTCTGATGTGTGCAAAGGTTGCTATCGATCTAGGGGTGGCACATGTCGACACGCTTGGCCTCACCCAGGTGGCAACTGCAGAACATACTCTCTGGTTGAATGGCCAAACTTGATCACATCCTTGTCTCTCAATTCGACATATCTCCCCTCTGGAATCTTCTCATTGTTGACTGTTGTCCCATTGGCACTTTCCAGGTCAATCACATATGGTTTCACCTTTCCAACTTTGTCTCCGAACTCGTTTCGCTTTTCGATGTACCGGAACTGGATGACCGCATGTTGCTTGGAGCAGCTCGGATGTTCAAGGGCGTAGTCGCAGACAGACACCTCTCTCCCAAAGAGCCAGCAAGATTGCAGATACAAATCTAGCTCGTCGAGAATGTCTTCACCCTTGAATACGTAGAGTCTCCATGGTTTCGAAGAAGCCGGTTTTCGACCTTCAGGCGGTTCATGATATTTCAGGACAACGGCACCAGCAGATGTAGATACCGTGTTCGAAGCCGCAGCCAGAAGACCAGATGGACGCCAGTTCGGCTTCTGCTTTTGAGGCGCAGGACTGTCACTGGTGCCCTTGAAGGCGTCCACCTGCGAAGGAAGGGGACGTTTAGTTCGCGGCGATCGAGACCTCCGCCGCTCTGGACTCCGTGGCCTCCGTTGTTCTCTCCGCGGCTCGCGACGACGCGGTGATCTTGAACGCGACATGGATTGCAGGTTAGCAACCCGGAACGACTTGCCAGACAAAAATGTTCGAGTCGGCAAACCTTCCATTCGGTCCCGAGTGCGATGACATCCACGACTTTGACCCCTCCCAACCTGCTCGCCTGACCATTTCTAACTGTCGCTATCATGCCGTCGACATTGCTGAAGAAGGCAAAACTGCCAGCCGCCTATAGTACATGGCAATGCTGCTTTTGCGGCCAGGCCTCCTCGCAGGAGCGATTGAGACGGGACCTGCGGTTCAAACGGACATACGCATCTAGCCGTGAACATGACTTTCCAGACAATATGAACTGGCCGTGTCGACGGAACGGCTCATCCAGTCCGTCGCCCTACGAGATCTTCGCATTGGAAAAGCATGCGGTATACACGAAGCACAAGTTCTACCAACTGGTCAAGATCTACCACCCGGACAGGAACGGCTACAACCCCGATGATGGACTCACTCCTGTGGAAAGACTAGAAAGATACAGATTGATTGTACAAGCACACGAGATTCTCTCAGATCCGGTCAAGCGGAGAGCCTACGATGCATCTGGTGCAGGCTGGGGAACAACGAGAACAGCCGATCGCCATTCGCGTGGCTTCACGAATCCGGAAGGAAAACGTTACGGCTTTGGTCCAGACGATGATTCCTCCATATTTCAGAACGCTACCTGGGAAGATTGGGAAAAGTGGTATCGGCGGCACGATCCACCCAGTAGACAACCGTACGGGACCTATCTTCACCCAAACGCCTTTGCATCCATTGTTATTCTCCTCGCGGTCCTGTCTGGGGTTCTTATGGCAACAAGAGCGGGACAATTCACAGGGTCAATCGAAGAGCGGGCCCAGGCATTCACGGAAGAAACTGGCCGTTTCCTTGCATCGAGGAAGGACCACTTTGAAGAAAATGAGATCAAGGGCACGGGAAGGGTCAAGCATTTCCTGGAGAAACGTGATCCATCAAAGTATGGCTTGAAGGAAAAGGAGGAAGAGATATACCGGAATCACTTTGCCAACCCCATCTTGCAACCTGCCCCGAATCTCAAAAATGCGGGGAGAGAAATCTGGTGACTTTGCTGCCTTTCATGTTGTACATAGTTCTGGCTCGTGCTCTCGTTGATGATTAATGTACAGTTGAACGCCAGCTTTTATCCCAGTACGAGTACCATTGATTGAATGAGTCTAACGACAGCCTGGTGCATGCTTCATGACATCTTTCCCTTGATTTCTTCCGCCTTGCCCTTTGCTTGTCCCGAGATCTCAGCGGCCTTCCCCTTGGCCTCGCCGGTCACTTGTGAAGCCGTGCCTTCGGCTTTCTTGGACTCCACACCAATAACCTCGGACGCTTTGTCTTTGAGCTCAACTGCAATTTGACGTCAGCGACAGACGATAGGCTTGAGAGTCACACATCTTACCTCCTTTGTCAATCCCAGCGACAGCAACGTCTGAGACTGCTCGGTCGACTGACTTCAAGCCATCCTTGACAGAGTCGGTTGCCGATTTATGCTGCGTGGCGGTGGTGGACAAGAGACGAGGTGACGACCGGAGAGTAGAGGTTCGAACTGTGGTGCGGAGGACAGGTGTGGCCTTGTATAGGAAAGACATTGTGGTGGCTGGTGTCTGATGATCGAAGGTTGAATGGTTCAGGTAGCTTTGTTATGGCTGGTTGATAGAGCTTGGGTGCTGTAGAGATTTCTTGAGGAGGAATGAAGTCAATTTGAAGGACGAGTGGAAGCTTGGAAGATACTGTTGATCGTGCCTCAATCCAGCCTTCACCACGACGTCACAGTGCGCCCATTCGCTTTCCCCACATCATGTGGGAAGGAAGATACCAATTATTGGTTCGGCGATGCACTCCGGACACCTCAAACTCAGCCGAGGCTGATGTCACCGTGCAGTACAAAATCACATGCAAGCAAGCCGACAGCCAGGCGAAGACAAGATAACACCTGCTTCGGGACAGGCCAATATCGAGCAATAATCCGCCAAAACCAGCACCAGCACATCCACAGATCTCTCAAAAGTCCAAATCCTCCTCGTAAGGGGTTTGGTGATGGAAACACATCAGAAACTTCCCTGCCTCTGGATCCTTCCTCCAGGTACTCGATATCAATGCTTTGAACTCGTCCTGCCTTGTATCGTCGTCTTCTGTCACATGTTGCCTGGTCGCCTTGACTCGATAACTGATCAAAGCTGCTTCTGGTCCCAATGCCGTGACCTCGACATCGCTGATTTTGTACCTCCTCCACGGCACAAAAGCATCGCTCTTCATCACATCTTCGAGATTCGGCTCCGTTCTGGCGGAAACTTTGAGGCCCAGCGGGAAAAGCATGATACAGTCGCGGCTGAGGAAGGGCAGCAGGTCACCGCCGGAATGCATTAGGGCTCGCCATGTCGAGTCCTCGAGGGCAAGTATCGTGTCCTGAAGCATGCTATGATCCATCTGGTGAGTCTTGGATGTTGGTGCTTGCTGAACAGGCGCGCGCGATGGTCTCGATTCGACCGAACTTGGGAGCAATCGACGTACTCAGTAAGCTCTACGATTGTGTTGTCGCTCCAGTGCACCTCGAAGTGGTATGATCTTGTCCATTGGAACTACGTCAGCCAAGCAAGCACAGAGAGGCTGGCCTTCCATCTGGAAATGACAAGTTGCATCCCCGCAGCCTCGGTCGATTCTCCACAAAACAGCTCGCTTTCCTTCAGGACGTACTCGTACTGTCGTGAGCTTCACGGTTAAGCAAAATGAGAATTTCCCCGGCATGGCAAACATGCAGAGCTCTACGGTCTCCTCGATGTCAATACCGCACGTTCGCCTCCGCTGCTGAAGCGTCACCGATCAAAGTCAAGTATCAACCCGCTCCACATTCTGGCAACATCCGCATCCTCCTTCTCGACAGACCCGAAGCTCGAAATGCCCTCTCTCGCAGACTCGTTACCGATCTCAAGCACCATGTCGAAGACATACAAGCGGAAGGAGGTGCAGGGTCTACAAGGGCTCTCATAATCGCGTCAAATACGGACAAGGCCTTTTGCGCAGGAGCAGACTTGAGAGAGAGGAAAGGCATGACGCAGGAAGAGTATGTATCTCACAAGTACACCGCACACTCCCCTCACGACTTCACAGAACAAGGCAATTCTTGACCGACTTACGAAACACCTTCACCAATCTTTCAAAGCTACCAATTCCTACCATATCCGCCATCTCTTCTGTCGCGCTGGGTGGAGGCTTGGAATTGGCACTTTGCACCACTTTTCGAGTCTTTGGATCATCTGCAATTGTCGGCCAACCCGAAACCAAGCTCGCAATCATTCCGGGAGCAGGAGGAACATACAGATTACCAGCATTGATTGGTGTCAATCGAGCACGGGACCTCATCCTCACCGGACGTCGTGTGGGCGGGGCGGAGGCGTATTTCCTCGGACTGTGTAACAGACTGGTAGAGGTCACTCCGGAAGAGTCTAAGGAAGAAGGAAAGGCCCGACAGAAGGTGCTGGAAACCAGTCTGCAGCTCGCCAATGACGTCTGCGAAGGGGGCCCGATCGCCCTCACTCAAGCAATCAGAGCAGTCAATGGATGGCAACGTGGTGAGGCCGCGGAAAATGAAGCATACGAGGTCATTTTGAAGACCGAGGATCGAATAGAGGCGCTCAAGGCATTTGCAGAGAAAAGAAAGCCTGCATTCAAAGGTAGGTGAGGCGTCACGACAGGCAGATGATCCTGCCTGGCTGGTTGGAAGTGCGCATGTAATGTGTCCAGGTGACCTTTTGGGCGCTCGATCGGATATAGATGAGATCTCGCAATCTTGTGACAATGACGCGTGTGGACTGAGCTTCACAGTCATTTGGACGCTGTGTGGTGTTCATCGCCTCTGAAAACAGTATTCCTCCACCTGTCTTTGCCCGTTCTGCGCCTTTGCTACAGCCCTCCTTTGAGTGAAGCAATTTGGCCCCTAAGGCTGCATCCCCACACAGTGGCCCGATTTTGACGAGCGAGCAACCCCGGGTTCGGCTTAGTATTAGGCGATCTCGGGCGGAATTGCAACCAAACTGAAGCCAAGGCAGGCTGCTTTCTTTTCCTGGCCCAGTCAACCTCGCTTTGTCTGAGGTTTGGGCATGTTGCATCCACCTCTCCAATCATCAGGCTACCAAGTCACCTGCGCCCTCCCTTTCAATTTGTAGGGCGTCTAATGATTTCTGGGTTGAGTCCGCCTTCCATGAAGACCACTCCTCTACTTATGTAACGGTGAGCGTGCTGGAGTTTTGCCCTAGAGTCATTTCTGGTTCGGTTGTGCTGTTCTTGTGTTGATGTCCAGTCTGCTTGTTGTTCGCATGCATGGTTCGTCTGATCCTGCCTGAATACTTTACTTCATCAGTGGGCGCAGCCTTTAGACGATGACCACTTCTGCTGGGAAGCAGATCGTTCAGTATGGCCTCACCGAAGTCTACTCCGCAATCGATCCAGTTGTCGACATCGTGTTCGTGCATGGATTGAATGGCCACCCTCACGACACATGGTCCACGAAAAAGCCCAAGGTCTTCTGGCCAGCTGACCTCCTTCCTGCGGCTCTCGAAGAGCAGAGACCAAGAATCCTGACCTACGGCTACGATGCGAATGTAACAGCGTTCACGGATGGGGTTTCAAAAGACAAGATACACAATCATGCGGAGCATCTTGCCAGTCGATTGGTTGCCAACAGGTCGGTAAGTGTGGGACATGATCCAACTTTGTCATTGAGGCAGTCCTTCAGTGGAAGCTCTTGGATGAATACTGACAATGAGAAGCTGAAAAAAGCTACTGAACGCCCCATTATCTTCGTCGCCCATTCCCTTGGAGGTCTAGTCGTCAAACGATGCCTGATATACTGTCAAAGCATACGACCCCACCAACATACGGAAAGGCTGAGGTCGATCTACGTTTCCACCTACGGCATCCTCTTCCTCGGTACTCCTCACAATGGCTCTGACCTGGCAAAATGGGGTTCCTTGCTCGAGAAGATCTGTGCTGTGGCACTTCCGAAGAAGTTCTTCGATACCTCTCCCCAGCTGGTACAAGCATTGCAGACCAACAATGAAACTCTCCAGAATATCAATAGGCTCTTCATCGAGATTATTGGACGTTATCACATTTATTTCTTCCATGAGTCGAAACCGACAGATTTGAAAGGAACCTTGGCCTTCGTAGTTGAAGAGGACTCTGCCGCCCCAGTCATCGAAGGCGTCGAGCGGATGGGCATTGAGAAAGATCACAGGTAGGGCGCTTTGCCTCCTCCGCAGCGTGTTCAGTTTCTGACCCGTTTGTAGTCATATTTGCAAGTTTGAGGACGAATCGAGCCCTGGATATGATGTAGTGGCAGAAGCCATTCAGAGGTATACAGCCCACAGCCTGAAATGCACCAAGCTGACAAGGGTCCAGATATGCCACTGATGCACAATCCCTCATTCGCTCTCGGTGGGATCAAGAGAAACAGATGGCTGGGTTTGAAAGGCAAGCGGCGGCACGAGAATTGCTGGGCGGTGAGTACGCTTACGATATATCCGTCCGCGACAATACTGAGAATTCCGCAGACAGCATATTCCAGACAAGCCCAGGGGTCTCGGGCACTGCAACTCCAGTACCGGGAGCCCAACAAACGATACAATCCAATCCGATGGGTGCGCCCTCTCCCCGACAGATTCCCACCTCGACTTCACCTCAGTATGAGGTTGAAGAACTCGAGGACGATCTCATCACTGCACCTCATTGATCACCTGGTCAGTGGCAAGAATGTAGCTCATTGACGCTGACTCATGATGGGCCACAGGAGACTCCACAAGCTCGATACGAAGAATTCAACAATCTGTATCACTATCGTCTTCCTCCCTTGTTGTCGGTCCAGTCGGCTTCCGTCGCAATTCCATCTTCCTCGGCTTCCAACTAGAGATGGACCAGCTAGCACAAAAGCTTGCATCTCCGAGGAGACGAGCACTGGGAACATGCGCAGTATTGTTGTGGGGACCACCGGGTTGTGGAAAGAGTCAGATCGCTCGTGAATATCTATGGCGGCATCGTAACGATTATCCGGCTGGTTGCTTTTGGGTTGACTGCAAAACAGAAGAATCAAGGTCGAAAAGCTTCTGGGAAATCGCCCAGGCTGTTGCAATATACGGGGACGAACCATCTCGGGACCCTGCATGGGACGAGTCGTCGAAGTTTGTGGGTGCAGTGCGGAAATGGTTCGAAGCACGGGAGGGATGGCTCCTTGTGTTTGATGGAATCACAACAGACAATGATGATGATATTGGGGCACTCGCTTCTTTCATCCCAGATCGCATAGGGAGCAACATCATCTACACATCCGTCGACCGCACGTTGGCCAAGCGCCAAAGGCTCCTCAATCCTACTGGCGTCAAAGTTTTCCCCTTGTCACAGCACGATGCGTGTGCCTTGTTGTACAAGAATCTTGATATCAAATCGCCAACTGAAACGCAGGCCAAGAAAGCAATGCAGTTGGTCAAACACTACGAATGCCTGCCACTAGCGATTCACGCTGCAGCACATGCCTTGATCGCACGCGGGATGTCTTTGGAGAAATTCAGTCCTGGAACTTCAGATCATCGACTTGCAGAGCCATATCTCGACATCCTCACAGCATTAAGAGAGCATTCACATCCTGAAGCTGTGAATCTCGTCACATTGCTTAGTTTCTTTGCGCACGTTATCCCAGTTGCCCTTATTCGCTTCGGGCAACCGGTTTTGCAAGAGTTTGGCGTCGAGATCCGCTCAGTCGAAAGCATCGGAAGCATGAAGAAGGAGCTGGACAACACCATCGCTGTTCTCATCAGATATGGACTCGTCGAGCGGACTCTCCTCGAATACTGTGTCGCTACACCAAACAAGTCTTCCCCGACAGAGACTAGGCCCCAAAGAGCTGCGACTGTCAGCACCATTGACTCGGATCGACGTGAACCACATCTGCTCCCGCATGACTCCAGCAGTCTGGAAAATATAGTTGAGGCTCGTCCAGACAGCCGATTGGATGAACCCTCTTCCCAGTCAGTCACCTACAGCATCGACATACTCCGCATACACACCGTTGTTCAAACCGTCCTGCGAGATGAGCTGAGATTCCGATACGCGGATCAACCAGCACAGTACTGGGGGTGGCTCTGCATTGCCTCTAAAATGCTGACTCACTCTTATACCGTTGCAGACGGCAAGATCAAGAGCACTGAAGGAAGAGGACTCGTCCGCGACTATCGCGAATACGACACTCAAGCTGCCCGGTTGTGGTCACATTTCCCCAAATCTTCAACCGATGCATCTCCAGTCCTGCGTAGAACACGCCACAACCTACATGAAACAATTCGAGCAATCAAGCAAGAGATCAAGAGTCAATCACCCTCCCAATCGATAGATACCCTCAATCACCAAGTCCAGTTTTCTGTCTTTGAGCGAGCGAATAGCACGTCATCGGATAGCCCTACGACTACGAGCAGTGACTTGACGCGGACGTCTACGTGGACGCCAGAACACGCTGATAATCAGACCGAGTCACCAGTTCAGATGCATTCCGGCCTCGACACGGATGATGTGGGATCTGAGGACAGTTGGACGGAGCGGTGGTCGCAGTCTGGAATGGGTAACTCCAGAGTTCTTGTTCCTGGCGCGGTTCTAAGTCGACGTCCAAGCAATTCCGAGGTATCCACAACTGGACTGACTGAAGCCAGCTCCAATACTGCTCGTCGATCCTCGATACTCCATGCCTTGTTCCAAGGACACCCTTCACAGGTCAAGAAGCCTAAGGATCTCGGCGAGTGGAAAGCCATACCCGTACCACCATCGCTTTCTCAGGAACAAGCACAAGCCCGATCGCGAGCCTCGTCATTTACAAGCGGGAGCGACGATCGGACGACAAGACCAACATCCACTGGCTCCGAAGCATCTGGCGCTCTTGCCGCAATACACCGAGCCAGTCCCCCACCTTCAAGAGGTGGAAGGATCAAGTCGCCGACCCGTTCGCAGTGCGGCAGGCCGGCATCAGAAGACGGTCGTCAACCACTCTCAGTCAAATCTCCCAATCAAAAACTGTCACCATTGGCCACGGCATTCCAGCCTGGGAAATCTTTGCCCGTTGACTCAGAGGTGCCTAGAAGGCACAGTCGTCATCCCTCATCATCGCCTCGACTGATACAGACGGCTTTGAACAACCAGGCAGCAACGAGGACAATTCCGATCATCCCGCCTGACGAGAATATGGCTTCCCAAGCCGCCGATTTCTACTCTAAATCAGTTCCCATGATAATACGGCCTGTCCCTTCCGGATATACTTCGCAGCCCATGTCACGCGATTCATCTAGGGAATCCAACGTATCACTTGCGACAGCCCCTCCAGCGGTCCCTGGATCGGCGTCGTTAGGCACGTCTCCACAGATACGGGAGCCTTACCTCTACAGCAGACCTGGCCTAGCGTCCATCGATGTGGTAGCGGCCAATTCATGGGAGGATGCACTGGCTGGGGTTGGTGAGCTTGCCACCACTTCTCCTCCTGCACCAGGTCTGGCTTTTGATGAAGGCGCTATCTTTGAAAGATATCATGAAAGATTCGGAAGCAGTGTTCAATTCGGGAACATGTCACCTGTAGAGCTTGATCAGGCACGAGCTCGAGTATCGCTTGCTCGAGAACACAGTGCCGATGGGAGGGTTGGAAGAGCAGGGCGATAGGATAGACATTAAAGATCTGGAAAAGCGTCATCGTTTTGATCCTTCCGCAGCGACTGGTGCGCTGGTCCACTCTCATTTCTGACGTAGCACTCGTGACGAGAGACATGGACAACACAGCTATACTTGAAAACAATTCCTGGCCTAAAATCTATCGGTCTTATTTAGAGCCGCTGATCACATGTGAGCACCTTTCCTTGGCTCTACGATCGCCCCGTCTGTTCGTAAGGTGGTTGTGCAGTACGAATACTCTTGTTTTCGGCGACCGAGCACATCAATGCGAGGTCACAGTGGAGCACTCGATTGGACCCTGTTCCGTGGTTTCAAGACAACGGCGTGTGTCGCTGGCTATACAGTGAGAGTTCCATTTCGGGCAGGCAGGAAATGCCTACTGGCGAGTTGCAGAGCAGACCTGAGTCGTCAAGATACATACAGGTAGTCATAGTCAATGTGGTGAATGCGTGGCTCGACCCTCGGTGGATCGCTATTTTTGGAGCCTCAGGTATCCGGCCTTAATGATCCAAAACTGTCAGCAAACTTTCGGTTAATTAGCTCAGCTACTCCTTCTTAGAGACGACACGTATATCCTCTGCCTCCTGGGCTCCATTTGTAAATTCGACTGAAAAATTCCTATCCCGGACTCTCGAATTCAATTGAATACTCCAGCCAGCAAGATCATGGCCTCCGCAGACCCGACGCTCCATCTTCCGCGCGTGCTCTGCATCCACGGAGGCGGCGTCAATGCGGCTATCTTCAAGGCGCAGTTCCGAGCATTCCTGAATCATGACAGGCTGAAGACCCGATACCGGTTTGTCTTTGTCGACGCTCCGTTCTTCTGCGATGAAGGTGTGGGCGTCCATCCGGTCTACTCGGACTGGGGCCCCTTTCGGAGGTGGTTTCGATGGACGCCGGAACATCCAGAGATCGATGCCGGCGCGTGCCAATACGAGCTCGAGTACACCGTTGAGCGGTGTATGGAAAGTGACGAGGGCACGGGGGAATGGGTGGCAACGCTGGGATTCAGCCAGGGCGCGAAACTGGCGGCAAGTATGCTCTACGAGCAGCAGGTCAGCGGCAAGGACGGGCCCTGGAAGTACGCCGTCATCCTCGCCGGCCGAGCGCCGCTGGTCAGCTTGAGCGAGGAGGCCGAAGAATTCCCTTGGATGCAATCGGCCGGCGGGCTTCCTGATGCGGCGGATACCGACAGTATCCTGGAGAGACCGGATATGAAACTACGGATCCCGACGCTACATGTGCACGGGCTGAAGGATGAAGGCCTCCATCTCCACCGCAAGCTGGTGGAGAACTACTGTGCTCCGGGGACGACAACCTTGGTTGAGTGGGATGGACCGCATCGCATTCCGATCAAAAAGAGCGACGTGGACAAGATCGTGGATGCTTGGATCGAGCTCGCCGATGAGTACGGCGTCTGAGAGACTCGATTGCCAGAGCTTACTTTCCGAATGCACATGCCGCAACCGCAAGCCCTGGCAACTTGACAGGTGGCCCCTTCGAACTTTTCCGCCGCGCAACCCCCCATACAAAATTCTCTTTCGACCACAATCTCGCGTGCCCGAGCTCCCCATCAGTAAAGCAAGACCGCAATTGAGGCAGTGTACGACAGCAGCACAGCTTTACTGGCTGCGAGGCAAGCATGGTGTTGCTATGGATCTTGTCCCTCGGTCGAGGGATCTGGGGGGAAGGCGGCTAGCACCATGCGTTGTCACAAGCGAGTGGTCGGGGGATCGTGAGGATCACAGAAGAGCTGCTTCATGCCATCGGATGGCAAACGGGGCGTTCATATTGTGATGTGTGTAGGTCAAAGCACCGATTGCCGTGGGACAATGGGATGCAATCCAGTTTAGCAGGCACCGAGTATGCTCAAATCGCCTTTGGTATCAAACAGCTATGGTTGAAGTCAATCGAGTGGTCTCTGCTGCGGCTTGATGCAAGGACTAGCACTTGTCATGGTGATCCACGACGACCTTGTCACAATCTCGTACTGGCTGCTGGAGGTCGAACTCCTTGTCCTTCTGAAGTCTCTCTTCCATCCTTTCCAATCTCCCAGCCTCTGCCACGATACCGCTCTGGCCAGATACCACATCTTCCAGGAGCAAGAATACCATTTGGGTCTAGGGCGTCCTTGATTTTCTCGTTGAACTTCATCAGAGCATTGTCGTTCCAGTTGTATGTCCGAGCGACTTGATCCTGGAAGAGCAAATGCGTCCGGTATTCTCCGTACCCCGAGTTTGCGGCATCGTCGATCATGGAACGCATACATTTCTCGACAGCCTTCCTCCGCTCGGGACTTCCACGGTCATAGACAATCAGATTGATCATATGCAGCTCTCTCAGACCGACGCAGAAGGTAATGAAGAGGTCAATGCCGTACTGATCGTGTCTTTCCTTGGCTATCTTCCACAATTTGAGGACATCCGACCCCCGAGTCGGTGAAACAGGGCTGAAGCCCAGATGCCCGCCATTCGGCACCCAGTTGAGGTAAGAGAGCTCTTCGAAGTCCGGCTGGCCGCCGGCGATCTTAGCTCGGGACCAGAAGTAGTGGTCTTTGGGCAGGGTTTTCGGATCAATCCTCTTCGCGCCAGGGATCTTTGTGAACTCCTGGTGGATGATATCCATCTTGTACTTGCGAATTTTCTCCGGACCATACTGTGTGCCGTAGTAGACCCAGGTGCATCTGCCAATAGGCGTCTTTTCAAGGTGGCTCTGGAGGACTTCCTCGGGTATCGGTCCAGTGCCGTCATAGAATTCTGAGCGACGTTTCCCAGATACGGCTATTTCGATGGTCGCATGTCTGATCTGCGCCACGTTCTCAAGGATGTTCGCGATTCTCAATGGCCGCACAGTATCGACCTTCCGACGATTAGCAGGAATCTCACTTCGTTTATAAGACATACTAATAGAAGCAGGTCGTCTTCACGTTGAAAGGTGTAAAGCTGGCTCAGTCAGCAATCAGTGGACGTCCGGGCTAGCAAATACTGACAAAGGTCTCGCAACCGCCGGGATCAGGCATCAATGCCATGCCCATCTTGGTGACGATGCCAAAATTTGACTGAGAAAAGATCCCGCTAGGCAACTATTATCAGCATAGGCAAAGGCTCCAGGGAAGCGACATACTCCGAGATCGGCCCGAATCCATAAGGCTATAGGGCCGTTAGAACCAGTACTGGTGGAAGAAGAAGTGTGTAGCGGCAGTGCATAGAGAGTCCAGGATGATTTACTTTCTGTAGCATACGGTTGGAGGAGGAGCACAACTCACAAAAGTCTGCCATGCGTCACTGCCAGGTAGAGCTCCCATTCCGGTTCGAAGTAATTCGCCTGTGGGTAGGACGACCTCGAGACCCGAGTGAGCACCCCAATGATCCCCATAGGGCGTGTACCCGACTCCGTGCTCCAGCGTGTTGCCAATGATGGAGCCGCCACCGAGATCGGGTGTGTCCACCCAGATCTTATAGCCTCTTTTCTGGATTTCCTCGTATAGGGCGTAGAATGAGACACCTGGCTCGACGAGACAGGTACAATCCTCTGGGTTGATGTCCAAGATCTTGTTCATTCGCTTACCCAGGTCGACAACGACTGACCCACGGACTCGTGGAGCCGCACCGCCGTATCCCACTGCTTAGGAAGTCAACACAACATCCGTCAACGGCAAAGGTTGTGCATACAGTTTCTCCCCATCGAAATCGGGTAGAGAGGAACAAGGTGCTTGTTTGCCCAAGCAACGACAAGTTGGACCTCGGGCACGCTCCCAGGATAGACACATGCCGACGAAACTGTCTCTTCTTCGTCCATAATCATGAAAGCATCGTGCGTGTTGGGATGTTCCATATACCACCCATCTTCAAGAGGCTGATCATTCAGCACGACATGGTCTTTCCCAAGACTCTGCGACAATTCCTCGAGGGCCTTCACGAACTCCGTGCGGCCAATGCCGGCGGGAACGGCTAGCCCTCTCTTCCTAGGAGTCTGGAACTCTTTCGACTGATTCTCCCATAGTCTTGACTTCTCCCGCACGGCCTTGTGCAACAGCCTTTCTGGTATTCCGGAGTACGCAGCAGGGTACACCGGAGGGGTGGACGGTGAAGTTGTAGACGTCGACATCCTTGACCGAAAGGGTGATAAAAGAGGGTCACGAAGCTGTCTCCGCGGGTCCACCATGGACAGTACGATGAAATTCGAAACTTATATTTGCTCGGAATGTGGAGGCCACAACTACCGGCCCTTCACGAGGCTGTCTGGCGGCACCGTGCAGGTTTGCCCCGGACCCATTTACCCCAACGTGTGGAGAGAGCCGAGCATCCCATTTTGACAGCCATGCATTAGCTGCCAATCACGATTCTCCCTCAGCATGTCGAGGATGTGGTTGCACATGCAAGATCGACCCCGCCACTAGCTTTGAGGAAGCCCAACTCTGTGATTCTAGGTCACAAAGACTCGAAGCGAACCGTACCGAAGAACCGAGGTTCGTGGTCCTGCCATTTGGACCGAACGAAAACTAGGAGTGCTAAGAAGACTGCCATCCCAGGAGCAAAAGGGATATAGACCGTTTAGTGATTGGAATGAGCGTAGGGGTAATGCATTATTGTGCTGTGCATCGGATGTCAAAGACTGCCAGGAAATTCTGATCCGTCAGAAGAAAGCCATTGTCCGGATCTCAATACTCTCACGCGGTGGCGCATCAGGCGACGAAGTTGGGTCCTCAAATGCACTATGCCCCACAAACCTAGCGCGCCCATCGGTTTCGGACTCGTATGTCTTGAGAACAATGACTTGCTCAGGGGTCATGCGCGGAAAATACCACCACTTGTGATTCCGCGAGTACCTCATCAGGTAGTTCTCGCCAACACGGTCCCTGTAGCGCAAGTAAAGCTTGAAGAAGTCGTCCTTGTCAGACGAGGTAACGTCGCACATTGCCAGTGGTCGTTCTTCGACAGTATTGAGGGGCTTCCAGACGTTGAAGAATGCCACGCGGCGCGAGAGAAGGTCTTCAGCTTCATCCTTTAGGAGCTGGCGTACTCGAAGAGGACCGGACTCCGCAGTGTAGTCGCAGTGCACCAACATCACTGGAGCTCGTTGGGAAGTGTTCGTCTCCTGGGTCAGCTTCTTCGCTTCGTTCTTCTTGGTTCGGATAGTATGGTCAAACACAAGGACGCGTTTGGCGCCAGTTGAGCTTTTCAAGAATTCGACTATCTCAGGGTAAAACTGCTCTCTGACCACGTCCTCGTTCTCCCAGTCGGCAAACTCAGTCTTGAAATGGTGCAAAGAGAAGCCTTCCTTGTCAACGGAAAATGAACCAGCTCGATACCAGCCGTCCGTGACTTCCATCTCGTGCGGGTCGTCTCCAGGCTCATGGATATCCTGGGCAGCATCCGTGTCGTAGAAGTAGAGTTCAGTCCGCTTCTCAACGTCCTTCGTGTAGACGAAATTAGCGCGGACAGTTCCGGCCGTGCCATTGGTGCTGACGGCCTTACCTGGCTGCAATGCCTTGTTGACGGCCTCCTGGGTCTTCTGCCACTCGGGGATTTTCTCAATCTGCTCCGTCAACCAGCGATTCAAATTCGGATATTGGTCGAGTGGAAGACGCTGAGCTGCATGCAGGTGCATTGGCGCAGCAACGGCGATATCAGCGATGGTGAGATTATCGCCGGTGAGCCACTTTGTCTTCGACAGTTGTTCGTCGAGGATCGCGGCATGTTTGTGCCATTTGGGAGCTTCGCCGTCGATGACAGACTGATCAGGCTCGGCCTGCAGGAGTGGCTTGACGACAAACTCGACCAAGTAGACGTAGCAGCTGGGGAACCACACCGACGTCTCCCAGAGCAGCCACCGGTTAACGGTACAGCGCTGCTTCACATCCCGTGGGTACATCGGACCACTGTCATCGGCCGCATATTGGAGAATTGCGTTGCTTTCGGTGATCTTCAGGTCTCCGTCGACAGCCGCAGGGACCGTTCCGTGCGGATTGATCTTGAGAAACCCGGGGCTTTTGTGTTCCGAAGTGAAATAATCCACTTTGTTGAAATGGTAAGGGTAGCCCAGAATATCCAACCCGGCCAGCACTTTGTGGCTGTTGACGGTGCAAGGATCACAGTACACTTCGAGCATCTTGTCCTGCTTCTCTCCCAGATACGACAATAACGCTCGCAAGGGAAAGTATGACAAAGGCGAGGATAGCGAGCAGGCACAGGACGAGTTGCTTGTTAAATGTGCTCCGGAGCGTTGCACTTGAATTGGCTACCCCGCTTTTTTCATAGAATCTGGTCTCGGAGTGGCGGACAACCTAATCGCTACATGGCGAGCTGAGATCTTGGGCCATCTCGTCCAAAAGGTTATTGGTCGAGGGTTCGTATTTGGAAGACCAAGAGCCGTCAGCTGGACCGCTGGGTCGTATTAGGTGCGTGGCTCAACTTGGGATGGCGCTTCTGAACCCCTGCTTGTTGGACTAACTCCTGGTCTGGACATCAAGTAGTGGTAGCACCACAGGAGATCGTGCAGGATGCAATTTCGCCCAACTGGACTTTGCCACTCATTGCTTGATGGCAGCAGGAGGGAGGGAAGAGGCCGGTGTGCTGAAGGTCCGCCATCTCAAGAGAGCTAGCCCAATCGGCAACCCTACCGTCGTAAAACCTTACCCTCGGACTGCCCTCTAATCGGCAGCAGAGAGCTTGCCACCTGTCTCGTTGATCCCCGTTAAATCGTCAGTGATTTCCTTTGAGTTGAAAGGTTCTCTGCCTCTCGGATTCGGTAAAGGATGTTGACAGCTCTTCTCGGTTGTGACCGTCCTACCTGATAGCTGGAAATCCGACGAGACAAAATCACCCGGCCGTGGAGAACACTATGCCCTTTGGTGTCTCTAAAGCCATTGCGGCCCTGAAATTCCTCTTTGTAGAGCTTGTTCGAGACGCCTAGACTCAGCCATTGCTTAGGCGGCGCCTGGAGGACTCCATGCTCGTCGTCCCGCTCATGGGTCAACGGCAACCCTGCTTGCCTGCTAAGGAAGTAGCATCGGTCCTAGCGACTTCGTGGCGGTTCGTGAGCGAGGCTACGGCTCGGTCTCTTCGACGCCGCGTAATGGACCAAACCCTGAATCCGGGACGGCGGCCACAACGGATGTTGCTGGAGAGTGTTTCGTTTTCAGGTATTCTGGCACGATGGATGCGAAAAGACCGTTGACGGCGGTGGAGGTATCATCTGCATGGATGCAGAGAATCACACACTGCCTTGCGCAAGCGTGGCCTTTGCGCGATGGTTGGGCGACTCGCTGAACTGTGAGGAACGAAGGTTACGAGTTGAGTAAGGAACAGTAGACGTGCTGCAAGACTCCTGGACTATGCGCAGGGGCCATAGTAGGAGCTGAGAGGGAGCTCAGAGCTGGCTGTAAATGATATGTGAACGGTTCTGAGACCAAGGTCAGTAGGTAAATAATCAATTATCTCATAGTGCAGAGAATGATCACCACGATTACGGAGTACACAGTGATCCGCCCTACTGCCAATTGCTGCAGGACTGAAGGCACTCCGCACTACTTACTCCGTACTGTCACCCAACTGTCACCTGCTAAAATGCGCGGAGGGCTTATTAACGACACAACATTTTTGCACGACGACGGCCCACAAATACAACACATGCGGATGCTCTATGAGCTCGAATGTGGTACTGCTGCAGTTTTGCTACGCTCACAGGTATGGATAAGAACCTTGGATGATGGCAGGCTCAGCCTCCCTCGCTTGTGGAAGCGTTGTGGGAAGTAGGACAAGGGGACTACCCAAGATATTGGCGGAATGCATCCCACCGCCAGCTGCCTTGCGGAAATCGTGACATTGGTCTGGACAATCTTCGATGGCGTTTGACATGAGCTTCCAAACTCATTGCGTCTCATGATACCGACGGCGGTACACAATGTTGCAGACGATCATACTGTCACGCCTAGCTGTGGTGGTGCTGCGCCAGCCTTGGTCTAGACATCTATATCTCTTCGCTAACCTGAGGTGCTGTACCAACTCGACAGGAACTCGGTCACACCTCTGCCTTTCTACTGCTGCGAGGCACTCAATCCAATCACATGCTCAGCAACGCCGCTGTCCAGCTCCTCCTCCGCTTCTCCCGTCGTCTCCGTCCACGGCCTGTACATCTCCTCCTCAATCTCAGCCAGTTTCGAAGGTTCCAACTTTCCATCTCTCAAGCCGTAGAGGTCACAAAACATCATGATCATTGGCTTCCATTTGTCTGCATCCACGCGGTTGCGATGCCCGTTGAGCCTCAGTTCCTGATGAACGCTGATCCGCAGAATCCTGACTTCGACCACAACGGCCAGACCTTGCACCGCCCTCCCGCCAAACATGTCGTGGACGGCGACCACTTCGGCTTCCATGACCACAGGACACTCCTTGACGCCCGGCGGCGTAACCTTTCTGGACGGAAGAGGCGTCAAGCCCGCTCGTTTGAATTTGTCTTTGGCGAACGTATAACCCCTTCCCTGCTTCGATTCCGGGACCGGGTCCGTGCCAGTGGTTCTGGCTATGGCGTTGACGTTCGGAGCCATGTTGTCCGATGCGAGATTGAGCACACACTGCTTCGTGCGGAGCATGTTCTGTGTCGTCTGCGAAGAGGCGTCGAGACCCAGAACGGCCCCTGATCCAAGCCACCAGGCGGAGCTCATCGGGCCCAGATTGGTGCTGCCATCTGGATTCGTACTGCTGATCAACACCACCGGGGTGCCCCAGTAGAGGATGGCAGGCGAGATTTCTTGATGAGCCATTCTTGTAGACGTGATGTCGGTTGTGGTTATTGGGCACCTGGGTTGGGTCTGGTGAGATGGTGGCTTGAGTCGCTGCACGAGTTCGACAAGTATGGCCGTAGTCGTTGTTATATACCCGAGAATCCCATCGTCATCCACTGCCGATAGATGACTCCGTGTCTGTACTTCGAGTCATGTTGGTAGCGCGTATAGATTTCACTCTCCCTCCGCAGGTAGGGGAAGACCACTTTTGCTATCTCCACCAATCCGTAAGGTCGTGCGTGCCCACATATATCTTTCTCCAGCTACCAAGATCACCGATGATTGGTCAGTTTGACAGCAACTGTCTGATTAAGACGACCACCTACAATATCATCTGGCCCTCTGTCCTCCGAGGAGAACGTTCCCAGGGTCCACTTGTGCTGCGACAGCAATGCTCTCAAAAGCAGTCGTCGCGACCCATGAATGAGTCTTGCTGTTCGCGTTATTGAAAGGCGACGTCTCAGCCGGCGCTGACAATCCAGATACGCTCTTGCATGGTGGGGCCACACCATCACTTGCCTTGGATGTGACCAATCCCTCGATTAGCCGCGCATTGCCTGCAGAACGAGTCAATCCATCAAAATAGCGGTCTCTACCGCACCTCGACTGGCAGAATGTTGGAGGCGATCTCCTCCGCGAACCGGCTAAACGAAGACCTTGAAGCCGCGAATATGAACAACCGACAGCTCTTTCATGTCTTCGCCACCGACGGGAACATCAAAAGCAATCATCCTCGTCGCATGTCAAGATGTACCTCCAGACCTTCGCCCACCCGGATGAACAATAAGAGGACCGCGACTGTCTTTTCGAACCCGCAACAGCGATGGTCTGCAATTGTCTCGCGGAACCCTGACGCCGCGGGCTCTTTCGTCTACGCCGTCAAGACAACAGGGATCTACTGCCGGCCCGACTGTAAAGCTCGACTGGCCCGACGAGCAAACATCGTCTTCTTCGACAGCGGTCCCCTTGCACAAGAAGCAGGCTACCGGGCGTGTAAACGGTGCAAACCAGAATTGCTTGCGTCCCAGGAGGAGGACCCTTTGGTCGGCAAGATTCGACATGCCGTCTTCTTGGTCGAGGATCATGCTTCACGGGGTCAAAAGATCAGGCTGGGGGATCTCTCCCACCAAGTCGGCCTCAGCAAGTGGCATCTGCTAAGGGTCTTCCGTCGCATCCAAGGCCTGTCTCCGCATGAGATGTCGACGGCAATCATAAATGCTATCGAGACCGAAGGTGACGGGAATCAAGAGTCGCCATTGCTACCGGCAGGAAGCGACACTAGGGCGAGGACGACCATGTGCCATGGCGAGTTAGATGTACCGACAGAGGCTTCCTGGGACGCTCAAAGCCCTGAGGACATGAACTGGGATTGGGGAGGCTCAGGGCATGCAGAGGTAGACGATGTTCTGAGAGATCTGTTCCCCGAGCTCTACGGCGGTTTCGCTGGGTGATAATGGCTCAGAAGGCATGTTACCATCGAGAAGACCCGTCGGTAGGTGTTCTGCGTACGTTGCTTCCAGGCACAACTATGGTTCAACGGTAGCAGGAATCGCACAACCTTGTTCACAACCGCGCGAAGTGAGTTGTCTCCGAATCGTCCAAATCATGAACCAATCATGGCTATCTGGACTGGTGTTGAACCTGTGGAGTGCTATTCCTATCTAAATATGTGCTAGATCTATCTGTCTTTACGGATATAGAAATGGTAGCTAACGCGCGAGGCCAATTCTTTATTCGTCGAGAATCATGGAAATAGTCTAGCATGTAAAAGTTTGTGGCAGTGCCAGAGACCATCGGGGAACCTTGGGTGCTCCCACTACAGTTCCTCCCGAGTTTGCATGCCTGGATCCATGAACCTACGTCTTGCCAATGCGTGCCCGGTCACTCTCAGTCCCACCCTAGAACCCTTCGCAAAACCGTGTTCAGCTTGCCGGCTGCCTCCTCGAGATTCATTGGCCTCTGGCTTCTCCAGCAAACAAACCTGTCAGGCCGAACGAGCACGGCCCCGGCCTCGTCAACACCTCTGACTTTCCCCCACGTATTATCGGTATCTATGTACTCTTGACCCCATCCTATGCTGACAACGGCGATCGGCAAATGCGGGATCTGCTGCAAGGTCGCAGCGGCTGCTTTGTCCCAAACTTCTTTGCCGCCGATCCCGGTGAAGATGGTGAATCGACCTTTCCCTGCGAGATCGTGCGTGGAAATGACAGTCTCCAGCCCCGTGGTGGCGAGCCATGCGTGAGGCAAACGCATTCCAGGGAGCGTTCCCCTCTCGTAACGCATATCGATATCAGCGTAAACCGGCTCCTGGGTATCCGCACCTTCGTCTTGGCTGTAGATGGCGTCGCTACGATAGAACTGATTCATCTCAGCGCCCAGGGCCGAGAACTGGTACTGTGTAAGAGCGCTTGCCTGCTGGAGTTCGGTGCGCAGTTCTGGGCCCTGGGCGCTGTCTTCGCCCAGGGCTTTGATCAGTGCTCTTCGTTTCTGGACGTCCGGCTCCGTCATTCCCATTGCCGCATAGAACCTCATGTCATTTCGTAAAGAATCATTTGCGCGGGTGACCACCTGCTTCCCGACAGGTTGACGCTCGCAGCTGTAGCTGTCCAGAAGCCTTGTGGAGGCGGTACCATTGAGCACATAAGCAAGCTTCCATGCTAGATTGTACGAATCTTGGATACTTGTGTTACTGCCTAGGCCGTTCGCAGGCGGATGCCGGTGGACTGCGTCACCTAGGCAGAAACTGCGGGTTGCGTCAGATACATGAGTGGGAAGGTTAATGTTTGGTTCGGGAACTGAGCCACACTCACACATTGCCTTTGGAGTAATAGTCAGCAACGACCTCGTTCACGCGCCATTTACTGGCCCTGTCAACTTCGATAGGAAGAGCCGGATCTCCAAGCATATCGGCAATCAGCGCGTTCCAGTCGATGGCATTGACATCTTTCAGAACTGGGGTGCCTGGGACTGGAATTGTAATGAGCTGAAAATGGTGCCATGGCCGAATTGTTCGTATGATTGCAACCATGCAATGGGCATTGAACTCTTCAGCTGGGCGGAAAATGAAATGGAAGAAAGCGGGACACTTGGCCGCCACGGGTGTCAAGTCTGCTGTGAAGTCCACACTGTAACAGGTCTGCATATCTTCCCGTGGTCCTGTCAATGTCGCCCCTATCTGGGAAATGAGCTTCGATCTGCCGCCATCAGCTCCGCACAAGAAACGCGCCTGGATCAAGACTGGTTTATTGGCCTGAAGGTCGTGACAGATCGCCAGCACGTGTGTTCCATGGTCCACGAATGACACGTACTCGGTGTTATACCGTATTTTGACGTATCCCGTCTGTGTTGCCCACTTTGTGAAAATGGCCTCGGCGTCGTTCTGCGGGAGGTCGATATGCTGGCACGGGCTGGCGGTGTCGTACTCATGCCTCCACTCCGGGACTTGATTGCAGATTTTGCCCCGGAAATATTCGAGGCCGTGGACAGTATGGCAGTACCGACGAAATGGCATGTTGTCGTAGGACGTCCCGAGTCTCAGAATCTCCTTCTCCAGACCGATATCGCGGAAGCATTCCACTGTGGCCATGTTGGTAACGTGAGCCCGCGCATCTGCTGTTGTAGATGGTGCTTTGTCGATAAGCGTTGTGTTGATATTGTAACGAGCTAGAAAGGCCGCCAGGGAGCCGCCGCTTGGCCCGGTGCCGATGATCAGTACGTCGGTCACGATGTCTGGTGTTTGGGAGCTTGTGGTGGACATAGTTGGTCGTCTCCAGCTGGTATTCACCACTCTTATGGACTGTTCCTCGACCAGATGAGGGCGATTGTAGGAAGTTTGGGTGCAGAGACGGGTTCAGGCTGCAACAGACCATGAGAAGTCAAGTCATATATACCTATAGGCGGCATTGATAACGGCTGGCTCTTCCACGAGGCTGGGACCATAGGGATGTTTGCCACAGGAATGACCCCCATACCAAGATCATCAAGATCGCCAAGGCCAGCTGAGGTTGCCACGCTGAATGATGTTCCACTGTCCCGCCCGAAACCTCGATCAATTGCAAAGAGCGAGTCCGAGCCCAGTCTCAATGAAACGTGCCGACATTTGCTGCAGTACGAACTCGGCACTCGCGGTCTTGCCAGCCCGAATGCGAGAGGGCCAGGGACGGCAGCCCCGGGAATTGAGCTCCATCACGATCAGGATAGTAGTTTTCCCAAAAAGGAAATCGGCTTGGCCGTGATATTGCTCCAAACAGGAAGCCAGCTTAGGTGTATTTCGGGTAGCGCGGTCGGTGGATATGAAGTACATGCCTAACGGTCGAAGGACGGATTCTCCAGGATTTACCTAGCACGACGACACTGGCAGACACGCTCGTCGTCACCGGCATCCATCCCTTGCATTGAGCTTCGCTCATTGGTGTATCCTCGATCTCTGCTTGTCCTGGTCCGGCGGAAAGACCTCCTTTGGTTACGTCTCGTGGCGTGGGAGACTGTCAGGTATCATCGTTATTCAAGAGGGACACGGGTGATGGTCGGCTCAAGGCTGCGCTGATCGATGTGTTGGTCAAGAACGAAAGTATGCTATGTCGGTGTATCTCATATTTGTCTCATGCAGATAAATCGGATACTCCAGCGATGGTGAGCCAGAGCCACAGACACGTAAAGTCCATTAGCCGTGGAGCGAGCTCGTTGTTGTCCTGTCAGTGTCCGGAAGCGGTCTCACGCGTGAAAATGACTTTTGCATTCAGGTGACTTCGCTGTGGTGAGATGGATGAGTTGCAAACAATCCAGACTCTCCTGCGTTGGCGATCCAGAAACTGTTACAAGCTGGACATGAATTCGAGTTCGAAGAGACAGAGCGACTAAATTCGGGTGGTGGATTATAAAGAGGGAGAAAGTCACGAAGAATGGAACATGATCGTCTCACGCAGATCATTAAATGATGCGGCCCTGAATTTCTCTCCGTCTCTGCCTCGACATCGAAGTCATAATCAGTCGACTGCAAAGCAAGCTCGACCTCATCCGAGTGATTCTCATTATACAGTAATTCTGGATCAGCTCCCATCCGACAGAGGTCTTATGCAATGTCAGGAAGTCGGCGCCGTGTGCCTCATTGACCCATTAGTGGTGGCAATATCCATATCTACTGTGCTTCGATCCTATTCTCTCTATTCTTTGGGACGTCAAACTGCCCACCCAATCTTACAGCTCGCTAAGAGGTATCACAACATGCAGAAAACATGGTAGACTCACAGGAGAGCTGCTCCGGAGGCTGGAGCATCCAGAGGAACAAAGTGAAACACCGCAACCCCCGCTAATGCCGCTGAAAGGCAACGTACAATCATACATCACTGTGTATTTTATCGTGGATGACGTCCGATACATCAGATCCCAGCCACATCAGGTCAATACCCATTCGCTCCCCCTCTTGAGAAACTTATCGACCAACAGCATCAGATCCGCCATCACAAATCGGATCACGAAGAACGCGAAAAATTCCGCGGCGTTCTTGACACCCAGCTCCAAACCAACCTGAGTCTTGTTGCTGCATTTCAAGCCAGGGTCTTCCACTTGACGTGCAATCCCATCCAGCACTTGTGCCGCGTCAAAGAGACGTGCCAGGCTAGACATATATGCCGCATGGACAGCGGGGATATTCGTCAACTCCGTGGGTGTGGGCGGCGGCGCGATCTTGCGATTCAGATGCGACCGAGATGACGGAACGGAAGAGGACGAGGTCATTGGCAGGGAAGCCATCGTCGGGCCTTGTGCCCAAGCATCCTTTTGATTGCCCATGGCAGGAGCACTGGACTTGGACCGAAGTTTGCGCCAGCTAGACGCAATAGATTTGGCCGCAGCATTGCCGGATTTACCAGCTTCAAGGTCTTCGCCGGCTGATTTAAACAGACTTGAAGAACTTGAGAAGCCCACGTCACTGCTAATCTTCTTCTGCAGTGTACTTCGGACTTGATCCAGTACGGATTCGAATGATTGCAATTCTTCAAGTACCGCATCCGCATCAAAAGTGTCGACCTTGGCGAGCTTCAGCAGAGCTGCTGTCAACAGGTCGCATTGCGCCACTTTATCCTCAAGAGCTTTGAGCTTGACATTCCTCACCCGCCAAATATCACGAGGAATGAACAGCTTGGCGGTAACGTAGCCACCACTAGGGTGAGCAAGTGTCTGGTATAAACATCGCATCAACCAGAATGGACGGAGCAGGAAAGATTCTGGACAAGGTTCGAGGGATTGTGGAGCGGATGATCTTGGCGCATCCGGACTTCGAGGTGTTGTGGGTGAGCTGGGGAGTCCGACGAGGTCATCGAACAAGTACATTCCACCAGTCTGCAACAGATGCGGACCAAAGGCGGCTGTGGAAGGTGTGGGTAAGGCAGCTGACGGCAATGGAGGGGCGAGCCTTCTGGCCTCTGTACCAAAACCTGCACTGAGCGGCGTGATCGGAGACTCGCCATTCGTTTCGGTGGTTGCGACTGATAGATTCCTCACTCTCAAGCTCGACGAAGACAGATTCTTCTTGACTACCGTGGGGGGAGGTAGCATCTTGCCTACTTTTGCTGGTGAGGGTGGCATGGCCACAGAATCATCGATACTGCCTTGAGAACCGCCCTGTGTCAAGGCTGGGGTGGCGGGCGACTCACTCTGAACGGAGTCGTTGGAAGGCATCGAGGCCATAGGCGTGAGCGGTGCGAGGGCTGGCAATATGGGCTCGAGCGGTGCAGTGAGAGGAGCTTTGGGCTGCTCAGAAGGAATCTCCAGTTCCGGCACGGATGGGGGTGCCACGACCGGCTTCGGCAAGGTGGAAGAGTTACGTCGGGCGAAAGTCTCGATCTTAAGCTGTTCTCCGTTGCGGCCGGAAAACCTTCGCTCGCGAATGTTTAGCCCCCCATACTTTTCCAGACTGATCGGTCTGCTGCCTTCATTTGTCGGTGGCACCGCGGAAGGGGTTGGAGGGAGTGCCGCCTTGGACGGGGATGACAAGGGAGGAGTATCTTTCGCTGGAGGAATCGGGCGAGGAGAGACTTCTGTTGGAGCTTCATTTGACTCGGCGAGGGTACTCAGGGCGGTGTTATTCGTCGCAACTGTTGATGGGAGCGAGCTTGTCCATGTCCTGCCCGAGAACGTGCTTGAATCCGACTGTCGAGGTAGCGCCGATTTCGATTTGTTGTCGAATGAGAAGTCGTCGAAGACAAAACCCTTCGTCATCTCTTCCAGCAGCCTCTCTTCTTCGTCCGATGAGTCTCCCTCGTCATACTCTCTGGTCAACTCGGACTCAGATGACTGAGTGGAAGGATCCTTGAAGGCAGATTCCAGTGGAAGTATAGGACTGGTGAGGTCCTCGTGGAACTCTTGCCCGATCTTGTCAGGTCTAGGGGTAGGCTCTTCGGTCAGATCATCATCATAGGCAGCATCGACAGCAGCATCGAGAGCGGCATCGAACTCTGCTTCGAACTTGTCGAGATTCTGATTGTCGTGGATGCCGTAATCGACCGACGACAACCGTGAGGACCGCGACGTGGATGATTCGCCGTCCTCAAGAGTATCGAGCCATGAAATAGACTCCGTACTATCTTCTCGGGCATGAGATGTCGTCTTGGCAGGTTCAGAGGGTCTGACGGGACCAAGCGGTGTGTTGCTGTCTCGATCCGAGGCTGGAGAGGCAGGCCTACGAGGTGAAAGAGGTGGCGGCATGTATTGTGAATCCATGGGAGAAGTCAGACTGGGTATGCGAGGCCTTTTTCGACCTGTATCACTGGTGTATGAGTCTCCGCCGAATATTTCTGGCAACAAGGATTCCTGCCTAGGAGGTATTTGGATGGATTCCAGCCTAGGGGGTATCTGAATGGATTCCAGCCGAGGAGGTATTTGGACGGATTCCAGCACCTCGGCGGTGTTCAGGTCCGTGTCATGAGAAGCGAAAAAGGAATGGTTGGTTTCGTCGAATGGCGGATCTTCAGGTAAAGCTTTCTCCATTAGCTCCGAGAAAGAATCGTCAAGGTCGTGAAGATCAGCAATCCTCTTCGAGTATGCATTTCTGATATCGGACAGTCTTTTCCGGTCGTCCAATATGGAACTGCGTATCAGGACTTGTTGCAGCAGATCGCATGCTTCAGCATATGCCTCAATGGCGCCCTCGATATTCTGAGCATTGTCGAGCAACACTGCATTGTTCGCAACCGCCAACGCTTTCGAGAGCATAGTCTTCTGGGTCGGACTCCTGTGACTCCTTCCACGTGTGGGCGCATTGGCCCCAGGAGAAGGATCCAACGAAGGCACTTCTTGAACGGCAGTGTCAGGTCGTCTTTCACGTGTGGTGGGTCGCGAGACTTGGGTCATGTACTGCGTTGTAATGTTTTCCGCTGACCTCGCGGCGGAGTGCGTGCCTGCTTTCATGTAGTGTACAGAGACTGCGACAGCATCACCACTCTTCCCAGGTTTGCGACTCTGCCACGTCTCGCCAAAATATTCACCGGCAGTCGGGTTGAACATCGATGTCGGGGTGATACGAGGAGAGACGCCAGCAGGGCTGATGTCTCGCGGTGCGTGGGTTCGCTCCACTTGTAAGAACGCTGAGTTCAAGCCCTGCGTCACTTGTGGACTTTGGCTCGAAGACCTCCTGGTGTGAATGGAATTCTTTGCAGGCGTCGCCGAAGTTACCAGTGAAGGGCCTACACTCATGCGTCGAGAAGAGATGTTTGCACGTGCCCGTATGGCTTCGGATTCGATACCAGATACACTAGACGACGTGGAATGAGACCAGCGGTTGATGTTGAGGTTGGGGCTCAGGCTATTTTCTGGCCGACTTCTTGATCGACTTCTATCATACCGAAAACGGCTTGTGGGTGGGAATGATGTCTCTGGACTTCTGGGCCTCACTCGCAGGTGACCATTTCGAGGATCGGTAAGTCTCGAGACGGGAGCAGTCAGCGGTTTTCTGGTAGCCTGTATTGGCGATGACGTCGAGTTAGACCGTGAAGCTCTTCTGGATGCAGACGACTCCATGGCTTTGACAAGCCGTCTGAATGACAGACAATCACAATCGATCAGACGCCAGGATGATGCTGGTGCATGAACGTCGAGGAGGGGGAACAGGAGGTATTAGCGTCGAGGTGCAGCCGTTAGGGGCCAGGCAGGCCACACTGCGGATGCAGCAGCTGTGCCGCAGATGCTTGTCCGCGCGCTGTACCTGCAGCTGGAAGTGTCTTTGTCTGCAGTTCGAAAGGCGACGGGCGAATCAGGGAGATATTGGTCAACATGCAAACTCGGCCTGGTTTAGAATGCAAGCGCTTCGGAGGAGTTCGTGCGCTGCAGCGGGTACGTTCGCGTGTTGTCCGTTCTCGAGAGCTACAAATCGCTTGTAAACCGAAGATCAAGATGATTTGAAGCAAAGGCTCAACAAGTTCATAAGCCGGACGTTTGTGGGAGGCGCAGATCGTGAACTTGTTTCGAAAAGCCCGGGGATTCTGGATTTCGCACTGGGCCACAACATGGCGGTGCTCATCCAGCCATGAAATGGTTGTCACCCGAGTCACCAAATTTTATTTCCTTGTCCAGTTGCTCCCATCGAGAAGTACTCAATTGATTTTGCACACCACTGAGTGACCACGGGGAAGGAGGCGAGTTTGCGACAGTTGAGGCCCGCTGCGCAGTCAAGCGAGGAGGGGGCGGTGTGATGAGGGATTCGCGAAGGATCTAGTGTCTCGAGAATATAGTATAGCGGTTAGAGCGACAAAGATCGGAAAGTCCGAGGCGACGAGCTGTTGTCAAGGGGTTCAGGTTTGTCGAGGTCTGGGTAAGGTTCTGCGCGCGAGCATTGATCGAGGGGTTGGGTGAGTTGACAGATGCAAACAATTGGGCGGTTCGCCAATGACGAGGAGGTGAGGGATATGGAGACAGGTTGATGGACTGCAGGGCGAGCAGGTGGCCGGGTGCGAGATGGAGCGAGGTAGCAGGTAGGTATGAAACCGGAGTGATGTCTTTGGTGTCCGAGCCAGCTCGTGCAATACTCACTCGAGGGTGTGTACAAAAGGAAGCGACGCCTGCAGTCGTCGAACCCTCCGTTGTGTTGGATTCATCCCTGACGGCGACTCTGATCCCGATGTGACCGAGCCTGGCAGTTCCTTGCGCGGAATAGACTTTCAGAGCCACGACTCGAGGGACCCATCGAAACCCATTCCAAGGGGAAGCCACAAAGAGACGGCGCAGAGGCTCAATGCACAAACTGCTGGTGATGACACGCGCCAAAATTCATTAGTGAGCCCCAAGCCACTCAGCATCGAGCATGTGGAAGCTTCTCGTGCTCTTCGCCCTTACCCCTGATTTTTACGGGGACTCCACCCACAGGATAGAGCCCGTTGGCGTCAAGGGCCAACCCACCAGAAATCTGTGCCTGGATCCTTTCGGTTAGAGGTTGCTGCTTGCTCTCCCACATCGCGCTGCGCCGGTGGTCAGTGAATGAGTTGGGTCGTATCTCTCGAAGGCGTTGTCAACGCGATGTAGCCGGGTGAGGACAATAACAACACCACCAACAGCGTGTTGGCCGTCTACGTAGTACGTACACGCAATTTCCATATAATTATTCACGGCCCGACTCGCACCCTTTGGCATTCCATAGGCCAGTCCGGCGTCATCAACGGTACGCCGCGACCAACCGAGAGCCTATCGTTCCTTGCGGGGAGAGTCATGCCTACCCTTGTTTGGCCCTCATCTCAGCTCTCTGGGCTTAGTACAGCCTAACCGGGACGCCTGGGTCAAAGCCTTAATGCCTAATTAGTGGGATACCTCCCTGTCATTTCGCCAGCCTCTTTCAGCCTCATCCGGTCGATTATGAATGCCTACCTGGTAGGTACGGGATAAGTGGACTGGAGTTCTATTGAACAATAATGTCAACGTCTCGAATTTCATCACAACGGCCGTTAGTCAAGACTCCTCGCACTGCAAATTGTTGTGCAAAAGTCCTGCGCCAGCGAGCTCTCGAAGCACGTGTTGATCACGTGCTTGCACATAGCCACGTCTCCCAGTTCCATGGCGTCTTGCAATCTCAAGCATGAACATCAACCCTCCCACTCTGACACAGACTAGCTTTCTCCTTCGCATAAGCCTCTTGGGTGCCTCTCCATTTGGACATGAGCTATTGTTCCAGAGCTGCAGACTGATGTCAACGACGCTCTGCCATGTGCCAACTCAAGCATCGTTGACAGCGCGGATCAACGTCTTTATATACGAGCGCAGCAAACACGAGTGCAGGCTTACTGCGACAACGGTAACACGAGGAACAAGACTGGGATGAATCCATCCTCGCCTGTTGCTGCAACCACCGCTTCGGCCCCTGCAGCTTGAATGCAGCTGTCAAGATGCATGACAAACACCGTTTGTCCTCAGACCAGGATCTGCTAGTCTTTTCTAGAAGGTCTTCTGGTCAGTAGGGCAGAGATCTGTTTGTGTCACAAATACCCCAAGATGGCCATCACTATCTGGAGGTGGGAGGCCCATCAGTGGCGGCATGGTCGTGCAAAGTCGTGAGTACAACAGGCACACGTCCAAGTGGTTGCGCGTGTTCACGTCCGTGAGTCAATTGAGGTACCTGCCTGGGCAAGTGGCAGGTTCACCGCCTCTCAGTATCGCACTCCCTACCTCAGCCTCCCACCAACCTCACTTGCACGATGAATACTCGGGTGTCAGGACAGAAAGATGAGACTCGCCCTCAAATGCCGGTTTATCGAACAGGTCATTGCTCCACAAAGAAATCAAGGCTCTTGACTTGATTCAGGTGTACAGCGCCAAGTCAACTGTGCTGGTCGTGCGATGCAGTCGTTTCATCAATTCTGGCAGTTTGTATCCGAGAGGGATGGGAGCCGATTTAAAATCTCGAATACTCTCTTTGGATTCCATCGAGCTCCAGGTGATCGCTACCGCTCAGAGTCTATCTCGGACTGTGCGACTTCGGAGATGAACTTTGGCAGTACCATGACCTTCTCTGGAGGCGGGCTGGTCTCATGAGCAATACCCAAATACCTTGCTCCAACCGGTCTCTAACGTAGGTTTCACGACCAGAGACTGCGACAGAGCCTCTCCCTTGTTGTCGCCACCTCTGAGTCCTGCGCCATCTGGACATGACCATGGTTCCAAACTCATGCCGTTACCCGACAATCATCACCTGCCTCGCCGAACTCCGTCTCTTTACGACTCTATCGCTTGTTGACGGGACTCGCGGCGAGGGGTTGTTTGGGGATCAGGGTTGCCCTCTCGCCACGGATAGGATCCGTCGTTACACTCCATCGTGGTCGAGGACAAGAACGGAAGCGAGTCTTCAACTCGGTATCGAATGGATTGACTTGCTCAAAGAGGACGAAGGAGGCCGATCGCCCAATGAAATCTTGTGGACCTTCACCACCTGTCTAGCAAATGCTTCAAGGTTTCCACCTTCGTGTGCGCGAGCTCGTCTCCAGCTCTCTGGAATCGCCATCCCCCGGGCCACGAGAGAACGGAACCAAGTAGCTGGAGTCGCGCGAAGTTTGGGAGAAGACCAGGAAGATAAAAACCGCCGATCGACCCATGTCTGCGTTATTTTCGGACCCAATCTTCTGGTTCTGCTCGGCCGTCCCAGACTACAAGCACTGGACCAAAGCAGTTCGGCGAACATCAAGGTCATTCACCAGCATCGACGAGTACCCTGGCGCATTCCTGCTTGTAGCGGCAACTCTTGCGACAATAGTCATCTTCCACTTAAGCTACGCCTTTCTCCGCAGGAAACAACCTGTGATGCTTCTCTCAGCATGTGTGGGCGTCGCCACGACGTTTCTCCTCCTCACGGCCCCGTTGCCGATCCTGGCCGTCGACCAGACAACTGATGCAAATCTAGTTGCAAAGCTCAAGGCAGCGGCAACCATGTACGACCGACTAAACATGCTCTCGGACCAACAGCTGCTCTACAACTTCTCCGCCAACCCGATGTACTCATGGAAACCAGGCAGCGTCTGCAATGCCAACGCCGCAACCTGGCCCGTTCTCTCAACGGCGCGAGCCACGGTGGCCCAGCTCAATCTGGGGCCCTGCGCCATGCTCGCCCCGCACATCCACCGGGCAAACAACCTTGTCGTCGCTGTCAGCGGGAGCACGCACACGTACATGGTGCAGGAGAATGGAGCTCGTCTTGTGGAGCAGGTGCTGTCGCCGGGAATGATGACCATTTTTCCCCCGGCAAGCGTACACTCGATGTACAATATGGGTAGGCTATTGGCTTGGTATCGGGAACTCTCCTTGCAACTTGGCTGACTGGGATCTCAGGCTGTGGGAACAATCAACTGTACTCCTTTTTGGACGACGCCGATCCAGGGACCTTGAACATCGCGCAGGCATTCTTTATGATGCCCAAGAACATCGGCATGCAAGTGATGCCTTTCGTCAACCTGGCCGACGGCAACTGGACGGCGACGGCGCAGCAGATCCCCGCTGTAGGCACTGGCAGTCAGGAGGGATTCGAGGAGTGCAGGAGAAAATGTGGCTTGGAGCAACATAGGTTTGCTGGTGAACATGTGGGAGCCTAGATGGTCGGTTGATTGGGCATCCACGTCACTCGTTAAGCGGTTGTTGATTGCTTGTTGATTGCTTCACTCATCCGATTTGCCCCCCTGTGTTTGTTTCCATGTGCGGGATCCGTCGAAGAGCATGCCGGGGTATCTTATGGCCCCGTGGAAACCAGCATCGTGGTAAATCTGATCTTACATTGTGTGCAGCAGTAACGTTGCATTGCTTGCTGATTGTTGTATTGTGGTCCACGGTCGTTCATCTAGTTTAGAGCTATATAGCACAAAAACCCGCCTGGTGCAGACAAAGTTTGTTCCACCCGAACCAAGAGGGCAAATCTCGCAGTGATTGTCTTTCGCCTCACTCGATCCGCAAACCTCTCAAATCCGCTATACTCACCTCTGGCGTGCGCTCCTTCGTGGGCGTTCTTGGTCCACTGGGTGTCTCCGGTCTGCTCTTATCACCACTCGCACTGGCATGTAAACTCACATTCTCTCTGAACGCAACATACTCGCTATCCGCGTAGCCTAGCACAGTCCGAATATCAGAGCTCCGCAACCCTTTGATTCTGGCAACTTCGGATGACGAGTAGTTCACCACCGCACGTCCAATCTCCTCTCCGTTTTCCTTCAGCACGAATTGATACCTCCCTCCTGCAGGGTTATATGAATTCGAATCTCCTGTAGGAGAGAGACTGCCGATAGGGATCTTGTCGACAACCACGAGGCGGACTGCTTCTTGTTGCGCGAACGTGCCCTCGACGTCGACAATACCCACAGGGAGCAGCCCAGCTTTGTTCGCTAAGGCGAGGGACGCGCCTCGATCGATATAAATCGTGCCATGGGGAGCTAGACCGTGGAGTATCCAGAACGCCCTGTTGCGGATGGGCGTCAGAGAAGGGAGAAAGCGGGTATGTAGTGGTGGTTCAAGAGCGGCCAAGGGGACTTGTCTTCCAGTGTCACCGTCAATTTCGACAGGCGGGTGTAGATGGCTAATAATTGCCGCAATGTTGCCTGGTTTCGACGACTTGGTGATAATCGTGCTCGTTCCCGCCGCGGTTGCTAATCGAGCTGCCACAATTTTCGTGGCCATGCCGCCGGTTCCGAGCGCAGACCCTGCTGACGAGACGTCTGCTTGAAGCGCGTCGATGTCATCGACCACTGATATAGGCTTTGCATCAGGGAACTTCCGTGGATTCTTATCGTAGAGCGCATCCACATCGGTCATGAGGAACAAGTAATCTGCATTAACCATGGCCGCCGTAATAGCACTGAGTGTATCGTTGTCGCCAAACTTGATCTCGCTCACAGCGAGTGTATCGTTCTCATTGACGATCGGGACGACTCCCAAAGAAAGCGTCTCCGCAAGGGTGTTCTGAGCATTGAGGTATTGCGAGCGGTCGGCGATGTCATTACGGGTGAGAAGGATCTGGGCGACTGGCTGGCTCATGTGCGCAAAGAGAGAGTCCCAAATGGACATGAGGCGTGACTGGCCTATTGCAGCAAGAGCCTTTCAGGCGTCAGACCACATGGGGACCTGAGTGCGAGCTCGAAGACGTACCTGGACCTGAGCAAGATGCTTCGGCCGCTTGGGCATGTTCATCCTTTGCAACCCGACTCCAATAGCGCCGGACGAGACAATGACAACGCGATGGCCATCTCGCCTCAGCTTGATTGCCGTCTCAACTATGAGAGAGAGAATGGACAGAATGGGTTCATGGGTTGTTTCGTCCACAATTGACGATGTGCCTATTCCAAGCACCACTGTAAGCCTCTTTCTGGTTTGCCTGATGAAAATAGACTTGGTTCCATTGCTATAGAGGAAATGCATGGTGTAGACGGGGATAAATACCAATCTTTATGACAATCGTCAAATGCTTCCCTGGCTTCATCTTTCCTGCGTCCTGCTCCTCAGGCAGCGGGCTGTTGGTATTTGTGACACCGCTTGTAAGTCCTGAATCTTCCAAGCATGACCTACCATTTTGGAACTAGAGAATGACCGAGATGTAAGGAACAGGCTGGTTGCACGCCCTTTCACGACATCCTGCATGTACTATCAAAGTCAAAAAGGTTCGGCGTCAGTTGGAAACGAAAGAAATTCTGAGCGCCCTACAAGGGTTGTGCAGGCGAGTCAGATCGCATCTTGGCGATCCATGGACCATAGAATTTCCTCTTTCGTCTGCAGCTTCATCTTCGGGAAAAGCATCCATGGTCAATTGAGGTCGCGCTGCCTGCTTTCCCTCTCTCAGTCCTCCCGTTACTCGACTCAGCTCGCTCATTATGGCCGAGTCGTCTACCACGCCTTCCGCACCCACTACATCTAGTCAACAGGATGGCTCGGACTTCCGACCCAGCACGACCTTCTGGAATCGCACGGTCAATTTCACTCGCATGCTGACCGGTCAGATGTCACCTGCGGGGCAGAAAAGGTACTGGGCGGATGCAGATGAGCGATACAGCGAGTTTGACTGCAAACGTTGCGAGCGGGATCGGGACTACCTGTTGAAATACTCCCCTACCATTCGATTCATGAACGAGAACATACGGAAACTCGGTGGAGAGATGGGTCCGCAGAATATCCATTGCAGGACGTGTCGAGGAGAGGAAGAAGCCATGCAAGGCGGGTTTGATCACAAGTACGGGATTAAAATTTGTGCAAATTGGGTCCAAGAACGGTCACAATTGGAGGATGTGATTTCACACGAGCTGGTGCATGCGTACGATCATCTGCGATTCAAGACCAACTTGACGGAGGAGGATGATCTGAGGCATGCGGCTTGTTCAGAGGTCAGCCGAAACCCATCCGCGCAAAGACATCTTTACTAATGAGATGGAGCAGATCCGAGCCAGCAATCTCAGCGGCGAATGTCGCTGGGCAAACGAGTTCTTCCGCAACAAGGTTCTTTCCTTCACCCAGCATCATCAAGATTGCGTTCGGCGGAGAGCAGTTCTTTCAGTCAGAGGTCGGCCGGGCTGCAAAGACGACGTGCATGCAGTGAAAGTGGTCAATGAGGTGTGGGACAGCTGCTTCAGAGACACCAGGCCGTTTGATGAGATATACCGGTGACCAAACACCCCGCAAGACTTTTAATTTACGAATCTTTTGGCACGGCGCTGGAGGCACCATGCATCTTCCTCGGCACACCGGAGGATTCCATATAGATACGAAGACCCAGACCGCAATCAACTCAACTCCGTTGCTCCAGAGCACATTCAGATCATTCACATTTTGACGCCCATCCCCTGCAAACCTATGTATCGCTTGGGCCCTGCTGTATAATTCTTTCCTGGCGTGATATTCAGTCCTTCCACCGGTTTAAGAACTTCTGCACTGCTCCATCAGTGGGTTGACCGGCCGCAGCAACCTGAAAGAGTCAGTGCGCAAATCCTCACAGCACCAACATGTGAACTTACGGGGTTCTCTCGACTGGAAGCCGAGAACGTCAACGCTAAAGTGTTCGTGGTTATGGCATCCGGTGTTCCCGCAATTGTCTGGTAAACGGTGTACGCGCTGGTAGGCCATTGAGGGGAAGCGTTTTTCGCAGTAATCTTGGTTTGGGCCATCGGAGGCATGGGGGCATATCGGATTGTCCCCGTTTGCAGAGTGTAGGGGGTGTTGTAGACATCGTCTGCCACAGACGGAGTAGCAGCATCTGCACCTGCTTGAGGAGCTTCGGCGTTGTTCTGGTCGGCTGGACCAGCAGTACCGGTCACAGTCCGCAGCGCTTGTTGTACCGCTTGGGGGAAGGTACCGGTCATGCTCTTAAGTGTGAAGCGATCGGAGAAGTTCACAACAGTGCCTCCTGGAGCCGCAGAGACGAACTTCAGGAAATAGGCGTTGGCGACGTCGGCTCCAATACCAGCTGTCAAAGGAATAGTGATGGAGTTGCCCGTCGTATAAGTGCCCGCCGAGACCAATGTTGCTAGGGGAATCTGGTCACTGTGTTAGCCTCGTAATGTTCCCGTCGAGAGCGTTGAATCCCGGCCTCACATAATCTGATTCGTCGTTTCCTCCAGCGCAGAGGAAGAGTTGATAGTTGGCTAGCTGTGAAATGAGTGGCGCATTGCCTGATTCTCTCCATCGTATGGCGAGATTGAGCCCGGTGATGGCGTCTCCCGCTTGGGGCGACATAACTTGGACATCACCACGGACGAACGAGAGGGAGGCGGCAGCCAGGAGGCAGATACTTCGTAGAATCATCTTGTCAGAAAGAGCTGGGAAGGAGAGTGAAAGCGTGTCGACACAGAGAGCGGACTGGGAGTGAGATTAGTGTACTCCGTACTTCTTAGAAAACGAGTGTAGTGAGTCTCGAGGACTCCGATGGCATGGATTGCGGAGGAATCAGCTGAGAGCGCAGTTTGCCAGTTTCAGACGGGCACTGCTATCCTTAAGCATCTGCAGGGACCAGTGCCCACCTGGGAACATCACCCCGACCCCGCCAATGGGCCGGTGATAGGTCGCTTTTTTCAGCCTCCTTATTTGCGTCATGGCCGACTCTCTCGCAGTCGTCCTTCTTGATCAGTTTTCATTCCAGTCAACCGCAACTGCTCGACATGGGCTGGTCCTCGCCAGACAGCTGGCTTACGCGGCTCTTCTCGGGCGATCCCATAATTATCCTCATTGCCTTGCTGGTGACGGTAGCCCTCCCGTCATTGGTTCATCTCTACTTTTACACCCAAAACGCCCGCGTTAGAGTCACCCCAACTTTCCTCCTCCTTGGACCCAGCGGTGCAGGCAAGACTTCGCTCGTGTCCTTGGTTAGGCCTCTTGCTCGCGCTATACGGGCATTGCGATGGCTAACATCAACCTTAGCTACAAAAGCGATCCTCCGATCCTGAAGACAACGAGGCAGATGCCGCCCTGACCCGCGTATCCCAAGTCTCCTCCCGCGTCAACTTACTGCTTTCGCCATCTATCCCGCTTGGATCTAATAAATATCGTTCCGAGAACGATGTTCACCTCAAGGACAAGCAACCGGCTCCATATGTCCTGATAGATACTCCAGGCCATGGGAAGTTGAGATCAGAAGCTGCCCTATCCCAGATCCAGAATCCAGCGCTGCGCGGCGTCATTTTCGTGGTGGACTCGAGTGTCCTTGATGCCAGCGACTCCTCCATATCCCGCGACACGGCCGTCTATCTGCATGACACCCTACTAGCATTACAGCGCAGGAAGGCCGTTGCCAAGACGGCGAGGAAGATCCCCGTGCTCATCGCGGCAAACAAGCAAGACCTCTTCACGGCTTTGCCCACACGTGCGGTTCGGGAGCGTCTGCAAACGGAGATTGAGAGGGTCAGGGTATCCAAAAGTAAAGGCCTTGGCAGGGTTGGCGAAGATACAGATGCCGATGCGGAGGAGGATGTTCTCGGAGGTGGTGGAGAAGAGAAGTTCAGCTTCAAGTTGATAGCTGAAGAGTATGGGATCGATATTGAGGTTCTTGGGGGAGCAGTCAAGGGCGAGGAAGCAGGAAAGGGCGTCAGAAGGTGGGAGGAATGGATCGGCGGCTGCCTCTGATGTTGACGATTCATATGATTCCACGACTGTATGTGGCCTGAGCGGGATCGTGATGTGGGTATTTCTTTTCATCCTCCACGCCTGACGGCAGGTGATTTATGTCGTGGTAGTCCTCCTCGATCGGGATCCCTCCCACGCCCTCCTTGAGATAGAGCAGCAGGCGATATGCGCTATTCCCATTGAGATAGTACCGGTGCAATTTCTTGCTTCTGAGAAACCCCAGGCGCTCGTACAACTTCATGGCTGCGGTATTGGTCTCCTCCGTCTCCAACGCAATCTCGTCCGCGTCCTTCGCAATCATGAGATCAATGGCTTTGCTGACCAACGTCGTCGCTATCCCCTTGCCACGAAACTTTTCTTTCGTAGCCAGCATGGCAATGTATCCTCTCATCGGCCCTCCTCGATGCGGCTCCAGCTTGCAAATGACCACCCCCGCGAGTTTATTGTTGTCCGTCGCATCGACGGCCATGAAGCAGAGCTCCGCCCACTGATAGAGAAAGTATCGATAAACATAGATACTGTAGGGCTCCGAGAGGTCTCTGGAGATGAGTTCACGAATCTGAGGCAGGTATTCGGGCTCTTTGTCGAGCGAGTATTGCAGATAACTTATGCCGGGCGGGGTGGTCTGAAAGTAAGCGCTGGGTGAGACTATGTCGTGCTTGCTCGCAGACTGCGGAGAGGAAGCAGCCGCGGCATTGCCGCGCATCATATTCCGCTTCTAGAGCAATGTCGAGATTGCCATGTTTGGGTACGGATGAGAGCAAATTGATTGTGAAGGAAATTGTGCCTGAAGATCCTGGCCAGAAAGAGGCGATGACGAAAACATGTGAAAGTAGAAATTGAGGATTCTACAAATGTCCACTCAGCAATGACAGCACCAACACCCGAACTTCCCCAACGCGTTTTGATTCCCTTGATGTTGTTGCGTGCTGTTCTGCGGCTTCAGCTCTTGTTTGTTAGAGGTATGTGATCGCAACAATGTCAACACTTCGACACCGCATCGTCAATATCCTCCGGGATTCGCCAACTCCCTCCCCCAACCCAAGTCGCGATGCTACTCCGGATCCCAATGAAGAGGTCAGCGTGGTGTCAACGAAGAAGCTGGAAAAGCTCACAAAGAGGAGACATAGCAAAAGAAGATCCGGCCTCACCTTCGGGCTCGGCGGTCTCTTGGGATTAATGCTGGCACTTCTATTGGCGCAGTCACAGGATATTGTCAAGCTCGAGGGTCTACTTGAAGTCAACCTCGATAGTCTGATGGATGCTATTCCCGTGGGCATCATCAATGATGTTAAAGACCTCTCAAAGGCAGAGCGAGATGTGGTAAACTACGACTCCTTCTCCGTCGGCCTTCATCTGCAAGCCCAAGGAATCCAAGCCCACCATCCTGTCATTATGGTTCCGGGGGTGATTTCGACAGGGTTGGAGTCCTGGTCTACGGCCGAAAAGTCAAGGCCGTACTTTCGAAAGCGTCTGTGGGGCAGTTGGTCAATGATAAGGGCTTTAATTATGGACCAGGCGCTTTGGAAGAAGCACATTATGCTGGACAAAGAGACAGGACTGGATCCACCGGACATCAAGCTGCGAGCAGCACAAGGGTTTGATGCCACTGACTTTTTCATCACTGGGTACTGGATATGGAACAAGATCTTGGAGAATCTTGCAACAATTGGGTATGATTCGACACTAATGTCCACGGCGGCTTACGACTGGCGGCTCTCATATGGGAATCTGGAAGTCCGAGATCAGTATTTCACTCGGCTCAAGAATTACATTGAACTGGCACATCTGACCAGCGGTGAGAAGGTTGTCCTTATCTCACATTCGATGGGCAGTCAAGTGCTCTTCTACTTTATGAAGTGGGTGGAGCATAAAGACAACGGCAAGGGTGGTCCGCACTGGGTGAACACCCACATTGACTCATGGATCAATATTTCGGGATGCATGCTGGGAACTGCAAAAGATATACCGGCCGTGCTGTCAGGAGAAATGAAGGACACGGCTCAGCTGAATTCATTCGCGGTGTATGGCCTGGAGAAGTTCCTGTCCAAAGAAGACCGCGCTGAGATCTTCCGCGCCATGCCAGGTATATCTTCCATGCTGCCGAAAGGTGGTGAGGCAGTGTGGGGGAATAGCACATGGGCACCAGACGACTTACCACCTCCACTACAGAACAAAACTCACGGCAGTTTTATCTCCTTCCGACCGAGAGGCAACTCCACGCAGGCTATGCGTCCAAATCTCACCATGACTGAAGCATTCGATCATCTAATGAACGTCTCGGAGCCGTGGTACGTGGAGACCGTCAAGCACTCTTACTCTCACGGCGTCGCACACACCAAGCAAGAGGTCGAACAGAACGAACATCGACCAACGACTTGGCTGAATCCGCTTGAGGCCCGTCTCCCCTATGCGCCTGACATGAAGATCTACTGCTTCTATGGCATTGGGAAACCAACGGAACGGTCATATTTCTACAGGGAGAAAGAGTTTTCGCTGACTGGCTATATCAACATCTCTATTGACACCAGCGTGACCACTCCAAATGGCCGCTTCCAGGATCCGGGCAGCATCGACCATGGGGTCGCACTTGGTGAGGGCGATGGCACAGTCAATCTTATTTCCACAGGTTACATGTGCGCAAAGGGCTGGCGGCAGATCAAGCGTTACAACCCGTCAAACATCAAAATCACAACTTTTGAGATGCCGCACGAACCTGACCGATTCAGCCCTCGTGGTGGGCCGAATACAGGCGATCATGTCGACATACTGGGTCGCAGTTCTTTGAACGATCTGATCCTGAGGGTCGCGGGCGGCAAGGGCGCTCAGATCGAAGATAACTACGAGAGTCGAATTTGGGAGATCAGCGACAAGGTGCAAATTTACAATGAGGAATGATGGCGATGAACCAAGGAGCGGGACTGGTACACAGTACCCTAATGGGAGGATGAGGTTCTCTGGATTGCATAGCGATGGCGTTCATGTGGGATCGCCAATGGTACTGATGTTGGCTTTGGTTATTCGTGGTAAGACAGAGGATTAGTTCAGAACAAGATACCCAAGACGTACGCTGATAGACTCGCATTCTCATCGGGAACATAAGACGCGATGGATCCAGTCAAGATCGTATATGTGTCACTATGTCGCATCTCAAAAGTCCCTACCACTTCTGGACAACATACTACTGCGGACCGAATCCTGTTAGAGCATTTGCTGCTCGGAAAGATCCCCTGTTTCAATCGACTCGGAGGCTATCACATGCTTTTGTGGCTGGCGTCCAGAAGCCCTCGTTAAGCGACTCAATCAGGTGTCGACGTGGACCGTTAGCCGGAACGGACCCTCGTTCAGCTGTGGCGTAGCCACGTCCCATGTACCTGCAATCATCATCCACAATCAAATCCGCCCCCATAGCCTGCGTAAGGAGGATCATACATGCGATCGACAAAAGGAGCGGATATATACCACATTTGCTGGCGAAAGGCAAAGGATGACCTTTCACTGAGTACCGCGCAGGATCGAGGCTCCTCCGTCACACTGTCAGATTAGAGGCCCCGCGTCGCACAGCGCATCAAGAGTCTTCCATTGTACCGCACGTCCTTGCACATATAGACCGTAAGGTACCGTCAGAATTTTCGAGTGGTGGTTTCTTTTGCTCACTTCAATTCTCCAGGAAGGGAGACTCTACGGCCTCGGTCTCAGTCTTTATCCCATACTTACGTTCCACCTCCATCCCTCGATACACGATGGCGAAGACGAGCAACCTCATACCGCTCATCATCCTTGTGATTGTCCTCGGCGTTGTCGCAGTTGTGGGATTTGTGGCCTACTCGATTGCAAACGAGGTCGGAGAGAAGACGCGGCAAAAACTTGAGAGAAAGAACGTCTCATTCTCCAAAGAAGGCATGAAAGTCGGCGTGAAGCATGTATCGCAAGAGCAACAGGAGGATGCAGCTCAGAGGTACACCAAGCCCGTTGCGACAGAAACGTCCGGAATTGCTGACATGGCATGCGCAGTGTGATCACAAAAGTCTGGAACAACGCTGCTTGGCCGAACTATCAGTCGCCCATGCTAGGATGGGGTCAAGGCAGCAAGACACCCACACCAGCAGAGAAGAGGAATCCGTGAGTGTGCCTTGCGCCATTGATTGCATCCACTCGATTTGAGCACAGCTTGTGAGACGGGACGCTAATTACTGGTGTTTAGATTCTCCCGCAATCCGTCCTCGTCGCAGTCCGCTCCCACTCTCTCACGACAAAGCTCCAACCAGAACAGTCTGTCGAGGACGACATCCGCGCAAACTCCACTGTCGAGGACAACTTCGACCCAAAATAGGACGCAATAGGCTCAATTCAGAGGCAGTGCGACTGTGGGCGCTGCAATTGTGCTGGGAATACTGACCATGACTACACACAACGGTGCAGTATGAAATATCAATGCGGCTTCCACGCTTTCTTCAGTATGAGATCCCATCAGTCTGGTCGAGCTGCAGCAGCATTGATTTCAGAGGAAGGGTATGACAGGATCCCAATATGACAGACTTGAGGAGATTTCATGCTTTGAGCAGGCTGATCTTGGCCCCTATGGTTCTAAATGGCACGCGGGACTACCGTTGGCATCTCGCGGGAAAGGTACGCTTCTAGTGACAGTTATATACCCTGCAGATGGGGACAGGGAATGGCAGGATTACACCTCATGAACCCCAGAATAAGCAAGGAGCATAGGGTCTCGGATGAAGTTAACGTCAACTAGAAATGATCAGAATTGGCAACCTCTTTACAAATGAAGTATTGCAGGCTTCGTGAACCGAGCTTCATATTATCAGGATCGACTCAAAAGTGCTTGACCGCGCATATTCTCAGGCACATCAATATCCGACTCGAGAAGATATGCTTGGACAGATACTCCGTACCCAGGTCAAGATTGGGTAACTAGTGCAAGGCTCTGCGACTGAAGTGGTCTGTGCTCAGACCCTCATAAGGTTGCTGGGACAGCATCACTCATCAAATGATCAAGCACCCGCCGATTACTTGAGCAGCCTGTTCGCCCGCTGGTGCCAGCAGTCACACAGCAGTCCTTGCCTCATGCACGTCAGCTCGAAAGGCACCACCTCGTACATGCTAGCCACCAAAGAAAGCCAAGCAGAACATGCAAGACTGCCCTGTGCGTGCAGATGACCTCGCGTATGGAGACCCTGACTGGCGGTTATTTTCAGCCCCTTCAATGCAGAGCCTTTGATTTGGCGCTCGGCTTCGGGCGGAAGCCATGGGTCTTTGTGAGTGTGAGCTTTTCTTTATGCAAATTGTTCACGTGCAAGAAAGGCTTCGGCCAGGAAGCAATTGTCGATCATCCCACAATTCTGGAGCCGGAAGAGGGGCTTCGTTGAAAGCAAAATCATACGCGCTCCTCTATACGAGTACACACGCGCTCCTCTATACGAGTACACACGCGCTTCTGATAGCTAGCGCAATGGCAAGGGAAATTGGAGGGCAGATGGAGACTCTGGTAGTTCACTGACCAAAATCAAAAAGTGTCTGACAGTGGGGAGAAAGTCGGGTTTGTTGGACTTAGGTCCGAAACCGATGTAATGACCAGCGAGAGATTTTAGCGGCAGAGATTGGCAGCAATCACGCGGGTCCGCAATCGCTTATCCCCGGCACCCATCCGAGATCCTAAGTGTCTTGTGCACAAATGCCCTGTTAATCCTTCGTGTTCGTGTTCGCGTGAAGGGCTCAATTTATGCCTCTCTCCTGGAGATCCCAGGCAGGCTTGCAAATTGGAAACGCGATGTGTGCGAGATTGAGAGAGCTTCCAATACTTCGGTGCTCGACATCGATGACACCGCCCGGCAAAATTGAGGCGGCACCGTCATGACCTTTGACATCTGCGTGCTTGCATCATCGCACTGGGAGTCTGCCGCGACTGCGGGCATTCTCATGGTGACGTCGAATTGAGGGAGAATTTTCGCGGGAGTGCTGTTTGGAAAGGGGGCAAAAGCTGCGCTCTGGGCCGGCCTGTGGTGGAGCCTAGAGAGGCCGAGGAGCCTGTCACAAAGGAGCCCCGAAGTTATGCACCACGCTTCAGCCACTTGTGCTCGTGAATAACGACTTCTTGGGCATAGAGCGCTCTCTTTGGCTGGCCTGATCCTACTCGTATCCTTTCACAAATCGCTTGAGCCACTTTACTGGTGGACAACCCTAAGCGACCAGGCACGGCTGATTAACTTAACTAAAGGACGTGGGTACTCGTACCGCACAGTTGCTCGCCTAGGCTGCTTCCTTTTGCTTCAAGACCATCCGCCGACATCCACACTCTGACATGCTCACCTAAGCCCTCACCACTGCCACCTCTTTTCCTCCCAGTAACTCTACTACTTCCATATCTTCCTTTCTCTTCCGTTTCTGGTTATCATTCTTCCGGACGCCTCGGATCCTGTGCTCGCCTTTCCTCGACCCCTCTGCTCGACGTCTCACACCCTCTCCCTCCTTGCCCTCATCTCCATCGACTTCCGCTTGTATCCCAGATCTGCCTCCTCTGAAGCCGAGCCGCGGACGTTGATTAAAGCATCGTGCCTCTGCGAGCGTTGTCAGGTGTAATGCAGGCCTCTCTTCCGTCCTGGAAGGACGCCGAAAAGAAGCAGCAAATACAGATACCATGGAAATCATTACAGCTGTTGGTCCCACATAGATTGCGACGCCGCCTAAGATCAAAGCTGCGGAATCGGACGTCGCCTGCCTCTTCGATATCCGCGCTAAAGACGTCTTTCTCTCCTGCAGATACACTACGATCTCTACAGAGCCACAGGTGGACTATCTACGACGGCCAATGGCTACTTCTGGCGGTGGTGGGCATCTTCTCGCTGAGCATCATTGAATATCCTGGTCCCCTGGTCAAGACGGCGGTCGCTACACTCCTCCTCTCCTCGTTCATATTCCCGATTACACGACAGTTCTTCCGCCCTTTTACGCCCATTGCCGCGTACCTCATCTTCTTCTACGCCTGCAGGTGAGTTCTCTCTCGGGCTTCTTTGGTTCTGCGACGAGTAGCAGAGTTCCACTCCACAAGAAACGCGCCTAACATTGTGCGCGACAGGTTTATTCCGTCCGAGTGGAGACCTCCGATCTGGGTCAAAGTCCTCCCTGCTCTCGAGAACATCCTCTATGGCGCGAATTTAAGCAACATCCTCTCAGCTCACAAGAACACCGTGTTGGATCTGTTGGCATGGTTCCCTTATGGACTGGGTCACTTCGGCGGGCCGTTCGTGGTAGCGGCTGTCATTTTCATCTTCGGACCTCCTTCAACCCTACCAGTGTTCGGATTCACCTTCGGCTATTTGAACCTGGCCGGTGTCATGATTCAAGTCCTATTCCCGTGCTCCGCTCCGTGGTACGAGAATATGTATGGCTTGGCTCCCGCGAACTACTCGATGAAGGGTTCGCCGGCCGGTCTGGCGCGCATCGATGCCTTGCTTGGGTTCGACATGTATACCTCGGGATTCACAGCCTCCCCGATGGTGTTTGGCGCATTCCCATCGCTTCACGCTGCCACGTCAACTCTCGAAGCTCTGTTCATGAGCCATATATTCCCGCGGTACACACCCTTGTGGGCCTTTTACGCTGCTTGGTTGTGGTGGTCGACGATGTACCTGTCACACCACTACGCGGTTGACCTCGTCGCTGGCAGCTTGATGGCTGGGACTATCTTCTACTTTGCAAAGGCTAGATTCCTGCCGCGACTCCAGCCTGACAAGCGATACAGATGGGACTATGATTACATTGAGGTCGGAGAGACCCAAAACGACTACAGTTATGGTATTGCCGGCCTGCATGGGTCTGATCCCGACAGCGACGAGTGGACGATTGGCTCTTCTTCTTCCATTTCCTCTGGCTCTTTGAGCCCGACTGAGGAGAGCCCCAAGCAATGGACAGAGGCATACTCCAATCATGAGAGATGAGGACCACAGTCTCACGGACCTACCTCCACGAAATCACGATTTCCCATCGACGCATACTCGGCGTGATTGGCATCGGCGCTTTATGACGATTCAAGCGATCGCTTTCATGGACACAGAACTTGGCATTTGAGCGACATAACATTCCGAGTCGAACACATAGAACAGCTGGCTACCGAGCCATTGTAATCAACAAAACGCTACCGGCATTCCGTTCCCGACAAGTCTTGCTTCGAGTAGCAGGCCACGCCAGTCGCTTCAGCTCCATCCGTCCTTTAATCAGGCTGACTCGAACTGGGATCGGAATCGACATAATCCTCCTTCTGGACAAATTTTCAATTGATCTTTTGTTATGGTTGGCAGTGCCTTGGAGGAGGCACGATGGGTAAGTCCAGCCATTTTGACTATGGATTTCAGCAGACAACTGGCATCGGCACACTGTTGCTGCGGAGTTTGCGTTGCACCAGAAGACCTGGACTATCTGGGTTTTCAAGATCTGTTTGATAACCAGCGGCTACTGTTTACCGTCTGGATTGAGACACTACATTCGCTTTGCATATTGCATTGTACAACACTGATATCGAGACTCATGACCGATATGCCAATCGCTTTGTTCGCGACGGAGCACACCGACCAGGAAAGAGCAAGCAAGAGGAAGTTGAGGAGTTATTCATGGGCTTCAAGCGTTTATTCGGTGCCAGGGCCAGGCCGATTATGATAAAGGCGGGGGCGGGTAGTGAAGCATTTGAGGCGGCGAATGACCATTCAGGAATGGAACATCTGGATTGGACGAGCGAGCTTTTGCGAAGCAATTCGTGGCTGTCAAGTCAAGGCCACCCTGGTCAATGTGCGCAGTTCGGAATCCATGCAATGTTTCCCATTCCCTCACAATGTGGTTCAGCCCCAGCCACATCTCCGGCGACGCGGTGTGAAGGCTTTATTGCATGGAGGCACAATGTTATGCAGAGTGGCTGGCGCTTATTTTGTGTAACGGGCCACGGCCATTGACCTAAGCTGACCAGCCAGGATCCATCACAGAGCAAGTGGGCCAGGGACATGGGCGCAGTTCCAGGTGTGCGCAGAGACACCAGATGACAGGACGACAGTGGTAATCTAATACTATAATACCTAATGACCGAGGGGCCAAGAAGCCCTTTTTGAACATTCATATGAACCTCTACGCTTGTTCTCCCGATTTTGCATTGTGCGTCGTGTCGAGTCCGCCGTGACAAACGCCATGGCCTCTGGACAAGCATGGCCAGGATGTGAAGCATTGGTTGTTTCATCTGCCCGACGTCACTGCATGGATGACCCTGGCAGGGCACGGTAGTACGGAGTACTCAGTAGGGATATCCCGTATCCGCCTTGACAACGGTCGGGGCGAGGCTGCGCCTGTAATCCACTTATAAACGTTATGGACGCTGATCTCCCAACGACAGTCGCGTTCCATGCGTTCCTTTTCGAGCATCAGCACTGGCAGGATCATTGTGGCTGGATTCCTAAGAGTCCCTACGACATATGTATACCGTGACTTTTCCCAAGCTGATGCGCTTGAGCGTTCTCCCCCGGCAGTCGACGCTGCGCATTTCTCGAATAGGAGAAGAGCCTTAGCAAAGTCAAACAGGTAACGGAAATGGAGGAAGAGCAAATGTTGAGAACGCAGGACTCTAAAGAAACACGGACTCTAAAGAAACACGGACTCTAAAGAAACACGGACTCTAAAGAAACACGGACTCTACTGATGGTAAACCACCTGAACTTGCCTGGCTTGCTCAGGGCTGAAAAAGTCACGATTTCCCCCAGTGACTGGCTCTACTCCATGCGCCTGAGCACGCCGTCCAGTCCCATTCTGCTCAGGCAGCTCCTCTTGATTTCATTGACGCTATTGCAGCCGCAGAGCGCCATGCAGCGCCTGAAATCCTCGTACAGCATCTCCAGCATCTTCTCGACGCCTTTCTGTCCATTGTACGCCAACGCCCAGATCGCGGGCCGGCCGACCCAGACACAGTCGGTGCCCAGGGCCAAGGCAATGAAGATGTCGGTGCCCTTTCTGACGCCTCCGTCCATGTGGATCGGGATCCTCCCCTTGGCGGCGTCAACGCACTCGACCAACGCGTCAATCGTCGCGGGGACGCCGTCCAGCTGCCGGCCGCCGTGATTGCTGACCAAAATGCCGTCACAGCCATGCTGGATGGCCAGCTCGGTATCCTCGGCCGTGACGATGCCCTTGATCCAGATCTGCATCTTGGTCCGCTCCCTCAGCCACGCGATGTCCCTGGCCCAATTGTGCGAGTCGTCGTTGAATTTTGTGAATCCGCTGTCGTGCGTCTGCTGGCGGATCTTCTCGCTCGTCCACTCCAGCATGGGGAACTCGAGACCCTCGGGCGTGCGGAAGTCGTTGCGCCACTCGTTATACCGCACCCCGAGCACGGGCGAGTCGGCCGTCAGGAAAATGGCCTTGCAGCCCGCGGCCTCGGCGCGTTGGATGATGCGTTCCTGCAGCGCGCGGTCCTTCATCGTGTACAGCTGCATGGCGTGGCTGATCTTGCCGGTGCCGGCGCCGGCCGCGACGACCTCTTCAACGCTGTAGTTCGAGAAGCTCGAGATGGCCATGTTGACGCCGAGTTTGGCGCACGCGCGCGCTGTCGCGAGCTCGCCGTCCATGTGCGCCATCGCCTGGAGCCCAGCCGGGGATACGCAGAGCGGGAACTTGACGGTGCCCCCGAGACATGTAGTTTGGGTGCTGAGCTTCGAGACGTCGACCAGAACGCGAGACCGCAGCCGGTACCTGTTGAACGCGGAGCTGTTCTCGTGGATGGTCATTTGGTATGTGGAGCCGGAATTGTAAAAGTCTGATAACACAAGCAGATTGTAAGACGTTTTTGGTGAGCCAGCTGCCCTCGTTCGCGGTCGTGAAGGAGGGGAGGGTGTTTTTGTGTCTCATGCGGACCTACCTCTCGCGACTTCGTGGAGCTTCGCATCTGCGACGGCTTTGATATCTTCCATGCACAAGACGATCGGGTCGTCGTCCTTCACGCCATCTGTGGGAACGAGCACGGGTGCTCCGCCAGACATTGCTGAAGCGCCCGGGTTACAGATAGGTTTCTCTGTCTCTCTCTCCGTTCTGCGACGACCGTTCGTAATGGCGTAGGCACTTGTCAAGACAGTTGGCACGAAATGCTTGCCCCCCCGGACGTTCACTGCCGACCTTCAGCTGCTCAATGTAAGAGTGTATGGCGTATGTCCATTCGAAAGCGATGTGTCCACTAGCCTCCCATCTCAATTGGAGATCTCCGTGCGCCCTTCGATGACATGGCCCTCGTCTAAATGGCCGACGCCGAATACCATGATTACTCTTATCTCCCCAGGAGCAGTGTGCTGGGACGATAGCCGGGGCAGGCATGGGCGGTGGGAGTCTGATGGCGGTCCAGGACGCCTGACGATCATCTGCCAGAGCTTCTGAGGGACAAGGACGTTCGGGGACAATCATCGCTTGTGGTCATCCAGGACCCTTACACACGCGCACAAGCCAGCTGTATACTGGTGCCGACAAGCATGACAAGACCGCCACCAACCTGTATACGGCAAGGACAGGCTGGAGCAAGACTGGGTCTCGAATATGGCTAGCGAGAGATGATGGGGCGTGATACGGAATAGATCAGATACCTCCGTCTGAAGGGTCAGTGCTGAAGCAGAGTACCATTCACGGTCACGGCCACAATTAAACAAGGGACACGGAAGAGTAGACTGAATCTTTGTTCAAAGTTCTGTCTTACTACCATTCCATTTGACCCAGTCGACATACAATAGTCACCGAACCCGGCGCTCGAACCTCCTTGCTTCGACCACTTATGAAGGATTGCTTATCTTCTCAAAGCTCCCAATGTCCTTTCCGATCCGAATTCCACTCCATTCCATCAAACAAGAAACATGAATGTACAAACGCTAATGGCAACGCTGAACGCGGCAGGATCGAACATACTGTAGACCGACTTTTGATGTCGCGCGGCGCCTGCATCTCCTCCTCGACACGGCCTTTCCCCTTGTCCAACGTCTGTTAACCCTCACTCAACACATTTGCTCATCAAGGATCTTTTTCACCTTGACACCACTCAAGCCAGGCCCACTAAGAATAACACTTTGGACAGCCCCGAAAGCGTGAGTCGAGAGCCACGTGCCCGGGATCTCAGACTCGAGGATCTTGAAGCACATCCTGATCTCCGAGTCTCCAAGGGGGATCCTCAAGCTGTCTTTGATATCGTTGATCAGCTGGTTCATGCTGAATGATACTTTGGAGCGGACTTTGCTTGGACTCGAGTGGACCGATGAGATGAAGGTCGAGCTCAACTTTCGTTGTTGCTTCATGCGTAGAATCTCGACCACTTCAGAGATGCGGCCCACGGCGTATCGGCGAATGACTGCGTCTGGAGATTCGGATGCCGCCGATGCAGTCACAACCGCTTTGGCTCTGACGCGATCCAGCAGAGAGAGGGTTCGATTTTTAACGGTCTCCGGCTTCTGGACTTCAGCATCTTGGGTATCTTTGATTGGCTGCACTGCAAACTGTGCGCCCTGCCGATTCTGTGCTTGAGTAGAAAGTCCCAAGATCTCCCTCCGAGCAGCTTCGGCTTTCGCTCTCCGTGCTTGGGTCTGAACTCCAACAGCAAAATCTAGCTTCGGAAAGTTGCGAACCTCGCCGTGAACCCAGCAGTTCGGATTCTTCCGAGACGAAATCCAGAGACCCTCGACCTCTGCTTCATAAAGCTGCTGCAGGTTGTACTCATCCCAACGTGAACTCGTCAGTCTGTTGCTCCCCCAGCCCACGTACTCGACGGTGTACCGAACGTAGTCACTGCCGGTCATTGTTAACTTGAACGGTCCTTCCTGGTGTTTGAGGAGACGGCCACTAAAGTGTGTCGTAACGTCCAATTCATAGATGGCCAGCATGCGTTGTATGTCTTCTTTGGAGACCGTGTGCTTCTTCCATAATCGCGTAACAGAGCCCGACAAACTAGCCAGGTTGGCTGGTGCGGTTTGACCATTATGAACGATGTGGAGTGAAAAGGCTTTGAGGAACGCCGCATGTAACGACACAAAGTCCTGCAGCACCGGTGGGAGCGCTTCCTGCGACCGGACAGCGTACGGGGGGTCGAGCGAAAGCTGGCGGAAAGTGAGCGTCGGAGACAGTTCATGGTCAACCGGACTCTGTCTTTGGCTCGAGGGAGGTGTTGGGAGTTGCACTTTGGCCTTCGTAGATGTTAGTATGTACGGAGATTAGGGGGCGGTGTATCAGACCTTCTTCACCTTGATGGAGCTGGCTGGTGCAGCTACTGGTTCTGCCTCGCTGTCGTCCTCGACTTCATCGCGTTTGCGCTTAGGGATGTGCTTGCCCGTCTGTCTGACCGATTTCGTGGAAACGGCCGCTTGTTTGAGAGCAACCTCTTCCAATTCCTCCTCCAAGATTGGGTAATTCCTGATGACTTTTGAAACTTTGGCGTTGGTGCGAACGCTGGCTTGTCGTTTACTGACTCGAGTTGATGTTCCACGAACGGAAGGAGCCATGGCGGACGTGAGAAGGAAGGTGCGACCACAGATGAATAACTCTAACACCACTGACTGCAAGGGCACGAGACAATAGTACAAGTAGGATGAGGAAAGGAACAGCCAGCTCAAGGATTAGCCCAGGAATACTCCGTACTTCTGGTAGTATGAAATTCATTCATTGAAGAACTTCCAGGTCCAATGGTCGAGATCTGCACTAGACGCGTCATTACGCGACCGCGTTCGAACTAGCCGGATGTGGCTATATTGCCAGTTCCCAGCCTCGCCAGCCACTCAACAATTGACAAACCAGACACGCCGGTTCATTCTCAGACCACGCAAAATAATTTCCCTACTCCTGCACAGATTTACCGCTCAACGCCTGCGCTAATTAACAATGCATTGCCCATTTCCAGACCACTAGTCCTCCGCATCCGGAACATAGACTTCATCGGATCCTAGCCGGGGGATCGAGTCTTGCTCGATCTGGTCATCTTCGCTATCATATGCCCGGCCTTTGCCCTTATCCTCTCTTTTCGCAGCTTCATCCAGCTTCTCATCTGTCTCGTCCGGCGGCTGCGATCCCGATGTGCGTGTGGCATTGAAGATGGACTCTGTGCTCTCGTCAGGAATGTCAGCCTTTTCTGATATGCCCTTGATCTCGTGCACTGGGTCGTTCTCGAACTTCGGTTTCGGCGCGGGCTGATCAAATATTGTTGCAATGGTTTGCATTGTCAGGCAGTCACTATCGTGGGTCTTCAAGACATGCTTCCGATCACTCCAATACTCCAGGCCTCCGATCTCTGCGTTCGCAGCGTCGACTGCGGCGAGAAGATTGTCAATCCTGCGACTTTCAGCATCCCCTTCTGGCGTTTCCTCGTCTTCATGATCCTGTCGGTGTTGGCGCGCCTCGTTTGCTGTCTTCTTAAGGTAGGAGAGAAGTTGTGTTCTGGAAGTCTGGAAGACGAGGAAAGACATGATTTGGGGAATGTGGTCCTTCAGATATGCCAATTCCTCTCCCCCTTGCTTGACAAACTTCTTCACCACCTCAATCTTCTCCCGGTCGATCTTGGCGAGCTTGAGCGCGGTAAGCAGGCTCGCAATGTCCTTAATGTCCTCGGGCGGTTCGTTGATATCGATGGTACTGGCGAAGCTGATGAAGCTCGATGGCCGGGCGGTCTTAGCGGTGCCATCTACAGCGTCGATCGGACTACGATCGCGCCTAGAATGGATAGTGAAGTAATCGCCAGTCAGGTTGTGCGCCTCACCCATGGTCCCTGGCCTGCCCCTCCTCCTTTCGGGATCACGTTTGACCCGCTTCCTCAGCCATCTTCTCCGTCTGACGAATGAGTGGAACCAAGGATGTGTGCCATGCCAGACCCAATTCCGACCGAAAGCGAAGGAATATTGCCAACCTTCCTCGTCCACGTCGTGGCTCATGTCGACGTACCACGTCTTCCACGCCCATCCCCAGCTTGGGTCAGGTACTTGCGCATTCGTAATATCGACCGGTGAATCCTTGAAGTCTTTGTTCGTCCAGGGGCCAGGGTCGATGGGTAGGAGGGAAGAGTGCGAATAGAGAGGGATGCCGCAGAAGAAAGATCCGCGCTGGTTCTCGTACAGAATATCGATCTCTGAGACTTCCTCTTTAAGCCTTCTCGACTCTCGTCTTCTCTTGTCAGCACTCTGACGTCCCCTTTCGACTGGCACCGCGACAGGCCCAGCCGATGCGAAGTCGACCGTCTGAGTCCCGGGCTGAGCCTCGACATCTTGTGCGTGCTGTCCTGACAACGACTTCGACGAAGGTTCATCCGCCGTGGTCACGCTGTCCTTTTTCGAGTGATACCGTCCTTGCTGATATTTGGCAAATCTCCCTCGTGTAAATTGACCCTTCAAGGAATCTCTAGTCCCATTCCTAGCCAGCTCTTTTGTGCCCGCGCTGGGAGAGCCAGATCGAGGCTCGTCCCCAGACCCAGGTTCGTCCCCTTGGTCGGTGGTGTCGAGAAGGGAGATTTCATGGTCGGAGGAATCAGCCGGACCGTCATGCGTGGCAATTCGAGTCAGGATCTTAGAGACATTGTCGGACATGCCTCTGGCGGCTGGAATTGAACAGGAAACGTGGACACTAGGTTCTCAGCTCCAAGCTGGACGCAAGGATTGGCAGCTGCGCGACTGACAGAGAGTTCCGTCAAGAGCACTTAGGGCCGAGGAGTACTTCAATCAGCGTCATCAACGAGCACGTAACAGAAGGAAATGGGTCAAGGGAAATGGAATCGAAACGGGACGGCGTTATGCTGCATAGTATGCGAAAAGATATGTGGCGCTGAGAGCAGCAGCCTGGAGCACCTCACATTCACAGTGTTTACGTCGTCGCCGCAGGCCCAGGCACCGTAACTCATAGGCTTCTCATCTAGCTTTGTGGCTGGTCCGCCCCGCACCTTGCATCTTGATTTGGACGCCTCCAATGATGTCACTGCTAAAGGGCACCTTGATGCGTGCAGCTGCACATTCGACGAGCTTCTGGCTGGTGCAATCATTCCACCTTGGCTTGTGATTGATCGCCGAGCTCACCTTTGCCGTTGCTCTGGCTTCTGACCTCCTCTTCCTTTGGTACGAGCTGCCCTGGCCCCTCAGACAACATTGAGCGATTCAGTTCCAGACAACCTCCGTTCCTGAACCACTTCACATCGAAACCTTCCATCATGTCATCGAATCGAGCATTCACTCTACTTGGTGTGGCTGCCGCCGGTGGTGTCGGGTATTACCTCTACAACGCTGGAGGGGACCCCAAGGTGGCCCAAAAGAAATTCGAAGGTATGCGGACACCGCAGTCTCTACTTCGGACCTCACTGACGTGATGAACAGCCGATGCCTCCAAGGTCTCCTCTCAGATAAAGAACGATTTGCCCGGTAGAGAAAAGGAAGCCAAGAAAGAGGGAGAAGCACTGGCAAACCAAGCCAGCCACAAGTTCGATCAAGCTGTAGGTTCCTGAGCCGAATACCATGGTCTGTATGCTGACGATGCAGTCGGCCGATGCCAAAACCAAACTCTCCGATGCTGAAGCTAGAGCGAAGGAACTGAGCCAGAAGACTGGCAAAGAGATCAACAGCGCCATCGACAAGTTTGACAAGACTGTGGAAGAGAAGGCTGCAAAGGCGAAGAGCGGCATCAGCAGCTGGTTTGGCGGCAAGTAATGGTCCCAATGACCTGGAGTCGGCGTCGGCGAGAGATTAATCTGGATGGTGTCGAACAACTTGCTCCCTCCTGAGAAGTTTCATATTGAGAGGCCAATACCCGAAATGACTGATTTGATGCTCGCACAGCCTGGGTCAGTTGAAGGCTCAAGAGAGCGGCTGAGGATGTGCAGGACGAACATGGAGGCTCTCCGCCCTGTAGCAGCCTGTTCTTCATCTCTCCTTTGTCATGCCCCTGATCTTTGCTTTCGTTGTTTCCCGCATATACGTCCCGCGGATGGTGTTGTGATGGATGTGTAGTTATTTCAGTTGGTGCCCCAGCCCGTGCGATGTAGTTAGCTTGGGCACTTTGCATTCTGCGTCCCATTCCTCTTTCTAACTTTTCTGCCTCTATCAAAGAAGACCGCCCCCAAAGTGCTCGTCTTCCGGCGGTTTACTAGTCCAATACCCAGTGGCATGACGCGTCGCTCATGCAAAGAGATACTGCCAAGGCTCGTTGGAACGTCTCGTCCAACCATATGCCAAGTTGTCCATGTACACATGCAGCCAAGGAAGATCGAGACCTGGTATAGAACACATCTCGGAACGAAGGCACGGCTCGGTCCCACAGACGGGTTCTACTAATCTAGGTAGAAGGTGAGCAAGCGCCTGATGCGCTGGCATTTCAGCTTAACCGGGGCCCATGACATGCATGAACTGCTGCTGGTGACAGGTGAAGTTCGGGCGGATTAGCCCTGTTTGCCCTTCACTTGGTGACTCGGCCTCTCAAACACAAAGGTTGCTGATTTATCTCGATCTCGAGTTTTTCCCTCTCTGCCCATAGTGAAACTTCCAAAGCCGTAGCAGCACCACGCAGACCAAAATGTCTTTCTTCAAGAAACTCAAAGATGAACTCAAGGAGATGTTGAACGATGATGACGACAAGGATAAGAAAAAGGACGGAGAGCATAAGCAAAAGGACGAAGGAGGTGAGACGCCAGCGGATGGTGCGATCACGTCGCTCTGTGTAATTGCTGACCTGTGAGTCCTTTCAGGTCATGGCCACAGCGACACCAGAGACGTTCACAATCAGCCGCCACCAGATATGTATGGACAATATCAACCCCAGCAGCCTTACCCTAGCTATGGCAGTCCTCCCCCGTCAGGTCCTCCGCTTCCCCCGGGCTGGATAGCGCAATGGGATCAAAACAGCCAGCGGTACTACTACGTTGAACAAGCGACCGGCCGGACACAGTGGGAGCCACCGATATGGCAAGGAAGCCCTCCACCGGCACCGCCAGGCGGACCAGGGTACTATCAGAGCTATGGCCATGCCATGCCGCCCGGCGTGCCATATCAGCAAGGACATGATGAAAACCAGCGCGCATACTATGGCGATGTCCGTGCTCAAGAGAAGAAGGGCCATGGAATGGGCACAGTGCTTGCTGCCGGCGTCGGTGGTGCAGTAGTGGGTGCTCTCGCTGCAAATGCGTTAGATGATAGTGACGACGGTAAGTGACCTTCCCCCAGGACATCAATTCAGCGCCACAAGCTCGGTGCTGATTCAGGTTGATGTAGAGCACCGCGCCGCTTCCGCTGCTCCCGCCCCCGCGCCCTATGGCTACGGCGCGCCACCTCCGGCGGCGGCTCCTGTACCTCTTGAAGACAACCCAGAGCTGTCATCCAGCCAGCGTGAATCCCTCGAAGAAGCGCGCGAGGACCTCGAGGAAGCACAGCGGAATGTCGACGAAGAAGGCTCAAGTGCATCAAGCAGTGATATTGAAGACTTACAGGAGGCTAGGGAAGAGTATCATAGTGAGGTGGAGAGTGCGCATGAGGAGTTGGAGGACTGATACTACTCGATGACCTCGGTATCTCCCGCTTGACGGCCTGCTAGCCAGAGGAAAGGGGATAGCACGTCGAGTTTCTGAACATGGAAGTGGATGGGAGGGAGACCGCCGTGTGTGACTTCGACGATTGGGCTCCTTAGACCACCACAGGAGGCATCGTTCCTCAAGCAGTGCAGTTTGATAACCATCCGATCTTGCGGATGCGGTCGAGATCATGGAGGATCCCGAACCCACCAATGGACCATGATCACCGGGATGGTCCAAATGTTCCAGGCACGCTGACTGCGTCGGTCGTTGTGCCGGCGTAAGCTTGTCAACCTAAGCGTACCGTCATTGTCGGTAATTAGCCCATCATACTGTCGACGTCCGCATCTCGTCCGTCGTCATTGCCTAGATAGGTGCCAGCATTGTGGTGAGTGGGTATGGGACGAGGGACGGTTTGCCGTCAACCTGCTTTGCGTAAGCCGTGTAAAACCAACGCCTTACAACCTCCAGGATAGGTGCGTGAAGACATCTGGGAAGACATCTGTGAAGACAGCGGATCCATATCTAGGTCCAGGGCTGTATGGATCCAGATGCGCATGAATCCAAGTATCCCCCTTTGGCGCACTTTGGTCGAACGCACTAGAATCCGGGCAAGGCAAGATGTTGAGGTTGGCGCAAGAACGGCTGCAGACACAGCAGCGAGGAACAAAACTCGGCGACCCTCATCGTTGACCATTCGCTGCGGAAGGAAGCCATTGGAGGTAGAAGTGAACGTAATATCTACGACAACCCCTCGCGTAGAAGACGCACGGGACAAATGTCCTTGGCCTGTGCTGTACTGTTGTTCTGGCCTCAGCAATGGCAGTACACGGTAGTCCCTGGTATGTCTCTGTCGGGTTTGATGGATATACTGATCAACCTTGGCCAAAGGCATTCGACGGCCCGTGCTTCGAATTGAAACCCGTGGAAAGGGACAGTGGAGGTGAAAGCATGAATTACGGGCGTTGGAAGAAGATAACGAGGAGCAGACGATTAGGACGATTAGGACGACCACCGACTCAGTCCATATTCGAGGTTGCTTTGGCCCAACTCTGCTGGAATGGTATGCAAGGTATTTCCGCAGCTTGTCAAGAGAGCCGCCTGCCACCTCCCTGCTAGGCGGATCAACATGCTAGGCTGAGGTGATATAGGGAGGTCGTCTTGCATGCTGTGTAATGTGCCCTAGCGCCATCACGCCTCCCGGGAACTGATTGACTGCCGGCAGTCGTCAATGTCGGGACTCCAGAAGGATGGAACGGGCCATCAGGGTTAATCTGCTTGACATTCAATAAAACAACAGGTTGCGGATAAAACTCAGTGCTGAGGCTGCTTGGGATGAGAGACGCGTATCGTTGGTTGCCGTCACAACAAAGCAAGTACAATTGCGTCCCTCTCATCATCAACCTCGTGTTTCTAGCGATAGAGCACAAGATGGTACCTATCGAGGTGCCGCGGCTACCGTCATGGTTGGGATTGTACGGAGTACAGAGTAGAGGACGATTAACGGACGGGAGTGCGACTCGTCGGGCTGAATGCTACATAGGTAGCCAAGAACAGCTGCTTCACATAAATAACGCGCTTGCGTGTTTCGGTGCGTCTAAGTCCGACTTCATCATGATTCTAGCTAATGAACTCGAATCTACTCCGTAGAATCTCTAGTGTCCAATGATTAGGCGGGTTAGTCAGAGCAATGCGCAAGTCAAGCCACGTCTGGAGGCACTCAATCCCGCTTTTCCGCTTGCCACACTCTTTCCGCGTCTAAGTTTCCCAACACCTCCCAGTCAGCATGCCCTCTCGAGCGTCTCTTCCGCATTGATGGTACGAGGGTAAAGTACCATCAGGCGGCTCTAGACCCGAACCCCAGCGGCAATCTTCACGAAGCACTGCTACGCTGGGTAAAGAGTCAATTTTTCTGCTGCCCGCACTGCTGAACCAACGGCGTACTCGTACCGCTCCCGCTCGCATGGGGATTGCCACATGCCTGCTCTTCAACTCTAATTGGATCTTCCATCCACTGCAGATCTGGCTGACACCATTTTGATATCAGAAGTGCTGGAAGCTCGGACGGGTCTGCCGATGCCCTCAGTAAGTCCTTCAGGGTCCCTCATCGTCGCCTCTTATCATCGACTTGCTCGTGCCCGTAAACTTTGTGCGTGATTGTGCCATTCTCCTTCCCTCTCCCTCCGATCAAAACACGTATAGCAAAACCCTACGTATAGACCTACTGTACATTGTCGAGTGCAGCAACCATGGCATCCGGACGCAATGCCTTCGCCTCTCCTGACCCCTCAAGTCGCAGCTTGCTTGACCGCAGACATTCGAGCGACCAGTCAAGGACGAGCCAGCCTACGTTGTCTCGAAGCAGCAGCAATGCTTCCGGGACTTCGCGCAAATCGGAGCCCGGCTGGCTGACTGCAATGAATGGGGTGGATCGCAGCCGCGCAGGCTCTGCGCCTGAGAACTCTTCCGGGAAGTCCCCTAGCGGCTTCAGCAAGTTATTTGGGAAGAAGAAAGAGAAGAAAGACACGGAGCACAACATCATCACATCCAAACATGCCGCCGCGGTGAAAACCAAACTGGCGCTGGACCCTAAGTTCAAGGACGTGCGAAGGGGGTCCGCTCCCGCGTACGTGTCGAGCGCGACGCAGAACAACTTGTTGATCAGTGCTGGGGCGCAGGAGATGCGGCATCCGCATTCGGGACCGCCGGCTCTGTATTCACTGAAGGAGAAAGCTGGGCTGCCCATGCTTACACGTATTATCAGCGGCGACGAGGCCGATGAATTGGACGAATGGGAGAAGATGCGTGACGAGTGGAAGCAGCGGAAAATTCCGACCCTGGATGACAATATCATCGAAGGCGTAGCGGTCGGTGGTCGAGACTCGGGGCAATCAACGCCTGAAGACCAGGACGGGAAAACGATCGAAATCCCACCCTCAGAAGTGGTGGAGCGACAAGGTGTGAGGATGTTGTCCGTTGCGGGCATGACAGCTGATGAATACTCCCCGCGACCATCGAGGACACATACACCGATTGGTGGGCGGTGGAAGAAAGACGAGAAGGGCGTCTGGAAGAGATGAAGATGGGAAGCGGCTCAATTACTTTCCAGCTTTCACCCTCATCGTGCCATTAGTATCCATTTCGACAACATTGAACAACGACGATCCAGACGACATCTTGAGAGCGGTTTTTTTGATCTTTTCGGACCGGACCAGCTCAACTCACTGCAGCTGGTGCCACTGTGACAACCGACCACAGGACGATACGTACATTTGCTAGAGAGCCTTTTGTCTCATTCTGGAGACGTCTTCAGCAGAAATATTGACAGCAGCTTTTCGAACAGAGCAGGTGGGTAGGTTCGAGCAGAGCAGAGCAGGGGACCGGGTTCGAGGCATACCAAGCGTGCATCAATCCCCCGGCTGCGAGCAACCAGGGTGAATCGAAGTCGACGCTATCGCCCAGCTTTGCTGAGTCGCACAATTGCGAGAGCAGTTGCACAGTGCCTGCAACATTCCTGTCATCCTTGCTTGGGCGTCTTTGAACCAATCTGCGAACAACACAACCATCACTGCATGACTACATAGCCGAGCGACCACGGCCTCTAACGGCTGATGAAAGAGCGATGCCTCCAGGTCCAAACAAATGAAGAGGTGGGACGAGGAATTTTGACCGGTCGTGCAATGAAGAAGGAACTACTCATCCTCCCAAGATTTCTAACTAGCCCGCCCTACTTTTGATCCAGCACGAACGGGTGTTCAGCCAGGCAGGAGGAGCTTACGGTAGTTTGAGAACAAGAACTAATACTTGTACGAGGTACTCCGTACTTGACAAACATCTTTGTTCATTTATTCGCCAACAAGCTCGAAAAACATCGTCCCTGTGATGTTCAGGCACGAAGCCGTACCCGCGATCAACATGGAAACCACCTACCTGGTGGTGCTCTGTTCTCCTTACACTCGTCGAGAATCGTCATCCAGATCCGGGCCCGTGTAACAAGCTGACGAGGTTGGCTACGGTTTTCTTCTCCCGTCCAGTCCACCCACCTTCATGACTACAATACGCGTTGGGTAACAGGCATACAATCAGAGGAAGTGGAGCAGTGAGGACGCGTGTTCAGTGAGTGATGGGCCAGCAAGTCCTCTGGAATCATGGGACGACAGATAGGTTGGGTGGCGAGCCGTTCAAGGAGTTTGAGGAACTACACAAATGCTGTCATTCCCACACAATAATCAGATGGATTGTCTCCAAGATATAGTAGGCAACTACCTCAGTTCCGTCGTCCCTTTCTAAGTCCAGAACGCCATGCTTGATGCGTCTTAAATTCTAAGCCGTATCTTGTATCGTATACAGTGACGGGCGTAGTGACTGTTGACCACTTTTCGAACATGCAGGCCACTAAAAGCTCATCCATCATCACTCATCACTCATAAACCTCTCGGAGTCTATCACGATGCAGACCTCTTCCGGAGGGGGTATCTGTCCGGACCTCCGCTTTCACACGGTTTCCTTCCCCGGTCCCAAGCCTTGGATGTTATTCAACGTCTCCTGGCCCGCGACCTCAACGCTCCTCTCGTCATCAATTCGGCTTCTTACCCGGACGAGCTCGGTCCTCGCTTGCGCGGTTTCCGTCTCATCGCCGCTCATGACGGCTCTGCGCAGGCGTTCTTCGGCCTTCTTTCGTTTCCGCTCCTGTCGTTCTTCTTCCTCTCGCATCTGGCGGATGAGGGTCGACTTCTCCCGAATTCGGCCGCCGTAGCGGTAGAAGAGGAACGGGATCGGAATGATCAGGACTTCGAGAATCCCTAGTAATGTGCCCGCCCAATTGGGTCCCAGAGCGCGATACATCGAAGGCCCGGCGAGCGGCAACGTGCCACCGAGGAATGATCGCATAACCGCGTTGCCGGCCATGGCGCTCGCCGCGTAGATTCCATAGCTGTAGGCCAGGTAGTTGCCCGCGTAGATGAACACGGCGCCGTTGCCGAATCCGAAGGGAATTCCTGCGGCGATGGAGATGGCCCAGTGGATGCTTGTTGGATAGCACGTCCACGCGAACCAGATCTCCCCTACGGGGACAAGAATCGCGGCGATGCACACGATGCTCATCATGGCCTCGGGGGGCACGTTGCCGTCTGCGTCGCGCTTATGCGAATTGATCATCTTGCGGATGGGCGATGCGCTGCAGATGATAATCATGGTGCCGATGCCGATCCCTAGGAACGAGAGCCCAGAGATGCCGGTCGACCAGCCCCTATACTCGGTGAAGACGATCGGGTAAGCGACGAAGCACAAATATAGTATCCCTGCGCGTCAGACTGTCAGCGAGATTTGGACATTTATACGAGACTGTTACACCTGGGCGTGACGTAGTGGGACAGGAAACTTGAAGGGGTGATTCCATCATCATAGAACGTACCGTAGCAGATCGAGATGTACACATTCCAGAACATGCAGATCGGTTCGGTCAGGGCCATGACGAACGGCCGTTTGAGATTGATTCGCATCAGCTCCCAGAAGCCGACACGAATGTCGTAGCGGCTCCAGTACCGCTCGTCGTCGTTCTCTTTCCGCAGTTTCTTGGCCTTGCGCTGCAGGAGAACCGGGGCGTACGTCTCGCCGAGGAATATCAATAAGATGCAGGAGACGCCACCCCATATCATGACGACCCAGTTCGTCCAACGCCAGCCCATGTACTCGGTCACGAATCCACCTATTGTTGGGCCCACGACGGGGCCGTTCATTGGTCCGATTGACCAGATGGAGAAGGCCGTGGCGCGATACTCGTCCGAGACAAGATCTGCTATTGATCCGGGGGCGTTCGCAATCATGGCACTCCCAAACACCGCACCAAAGAACCTCACAATAATCACACTGGGCAAATCCTTAGCCAGCGCCGCAGGAAGGATCAGAATGGTAAACCCGGCCTGGCATATCGTGTATACCGGTTTCCGGCCATAAGTCTCGGCAATAGGCGCCAGAAGCAACGAACCGACGGCCAGGCCCAACAAGTACGCCGTAACACCTAGTGTCGCAACCGGTTCCGAGGTGATTCCAAACTCCAGCATCATGGCCGCCATGCCTGCCGTATATGATGTCGAATACATCACCACACACAACGTACCGAACGAGATTGAAAAGATCGCGTATGCCTTGTACCATATTGACCAACTCCTGGCATCCTCAGGGTCGTCGGGGTCGAAGTCCACCTCATAGTTGGGATCTAATGTGAAATCCGTGCCGTGTGTAGTTATCCGGGTGGCTGTTCGAGTGGCCGACTGCCGCGATGCTTGTGTGATGGTGAGTGTGAGGGCACGTTCATCGTTGTCCGAGTCTGATCTCGAAGATGTAGGGGAGGTATCCGTAGGAGACCAGGACTCCTTGTGTATAGGTGTTTGCGGAGACGAGCCGGGACTGGTTGGCCACTGGGAGATGACGACTGGCGGAATCGCCTTTTCAGGATCTGACATAGTGGGCAAAAAAGGCTTGTGGAGTGAAAATAGACTAGAAAACAGTATGATGGCCTGAGGAGGAAGCCAATACCACTTTGTGGTTCACAGACAAAGCAAGCGCACAGCTTTCGACGCAATAAATGGGTAGCGAAAGGAAAGACGCAGTCGTGAAAAGAGCGAATGAACCTACTCGCCAGAGCGGTATACGGGTTGCGGTGTACTCACACATATCTGGACGGGCATATGCTATGTTGGGATGCTCGGAATGAGATGCCGTGCAAGCCAGTCATGGGAGAGATCAGTCTTTCTGGGCGGGGACAAGAAGCCATGGTAAAGGGACAAGCGGCAGTCGTACAACATGGAGAAAAGGTCGGAGATAGTCAAGTCGTGTTGAGGCTGTGAAGATCCGTTTTGATTGCTGGCCGCCGAGTTTTCTTGTTCGGCCTGCGATGGTGGGGTTCGTGCCTGCGCCCCTCACTTACCCGATTCGCGGCAGCTGTGGCGGTGGGTGGCGAGCGCAGATTTTCAAGCAGGAGCAGCGACGTCGTCCGTCGGGCTTCCTTCCTTCCTTTGACGCTCCTGCAGCTTTTACGAGGTACTCTTGGACCTCGGTATCCGCCCAAATCGGATAGAGTAATCAACATTGCGGGTATACTGTGTACGATACAGTTCGTTTAGAAGCGCCTTGGTCCATAAGACAACGTCGAAATATTCCACCTATTTTGCGTGGAACAGCCGAGCATCTCACAGTAATTATGGCTTATTCTGTGGGTATATTAGAGTACACCGTACCATGTCGGAATATGCAAACCTAACGAGCTTGAAGTCTCGTGCACAGGAATGGATATCCGGCTAATCCCAACTCATACCACATAAATATAGATTTGACCCTCGTAGGGCTGGCCTGTCTTGCGAGACCTACTTTCACCTTCACTTCACCTGTGTATGTTTAAGCATGTGCTATGTACGAGATAGTTCAACGACAGCTGGATGACCACCACTTCCACCCTTGATGACGAGTGCTGCTGGACGCCGGATCGGTCGACGGCAACAGGCGTCCAAGTGACCACACCTGGAAAAGTCCAAGTCAGCAAGGCCGGCTTGGTGTATCTGATTACGGCTCCCGCTACACAACCTCGTACATCGCTTACTACCAAGAGGTTTGTGAACCCAAGGGATCCCCCAACTGTGCTCAAACACTTTCGGCCGATTGCAGACAAGCGGCCAGATCAAGACCAGGACGTGAATACCTGATCCCTACATGGCGCTCATGGTGGTCTCTCGCGGGAAGCTTCACACACACCTCACCCTACACTTGGACCAGCTGCGGTATGAGGAGTCTTGCCTCGACCTGGGGTGGAAAGGTACACAGTACTCCGTATGACGACTCCCGTTTTCCAATTAATACATGCGCGGGGTTTCTGGCACGGCCTTCGTACTTGTCAGCCTCGTCGTCGGACGGATCTGGTCCGTCCACAGCTCCTCTGGGGCCAAAGTCGGTGTATGCATCGCCAGGCCTTGGTAAGCCAGCATCAGCTGGGTTAAGAGAGGTGGAGGAACCGCTTATGAGCGTGAAACAATTTGACAGAGCCTCATCTTGACATCTCTACATTCATCCAAGGTACAAGAGAGCT